GGGACACGTAGGAAGTAGGGGTTTTTAGATACCTCCCCTATTGGAGGCATCACGTTTGCCCTACTAGACACAATAACGTAGGGGAAGTGTTCATAGACCCGAAAGGGAACCAGATAGCACTATAAATTGAACTATTTATTTATTTATTATTAGCTTTCCGTGATTGAAGTGAATTCTTACTCTTATATGCAAGCATTCACAGTACAACCTGAATGGTGTAGATACTGACAAACCAATTACCATTCTACCTATCTCCAGTAATGCTTCAAGCTTAATATCAATTCTTTCAATTTAATTCGGAGCATTGTAAATTTTCGACGGAGCATTCGTACATACTATTCTACGGACAGGAGCTGGCAGTATGGATATAAAAAGAATCCGTAGTCTCTATCATGCACATGCAACATACAACCAAATCACCGATTTTCCCGCAATTAGGACTAAATGTCTGTCTACGGCTTTTCCTTTCTAAGACACTGTAGACATAGAAAGAACGAATATCTTGCGATATTGAGTTGAGATCTGCTCGGACAATATTCCGAGATCTGCGCGGAGACGGGTCTCTTCATTTCTAGAACTTGATGCTCCTCCAGCGATCAATACGTCCGACACCTGCGACCACGATAATTCAACACCTAACACCGTGTCGCTGGAACCATGAAGTATTTTCTCTATCGGGGATGTACATATAAATGCAAGGTTGTACACTCACTTTCTTTCCTCACCCTCACCACAATCCGGTCTTTGCACTACCCACATTCATTACAGATCAGATCAGTTCACCCACATTCATTATAGAACAGATCAGTTCACCCACACTCATTTACAATTCAAAACAATAAGTCGCTACATACACGACGACCTACTCGACATCAACCAACCCCACCAGTACAAAAAATACCCAAACTCACAAACAAACCCATCATGCAGTTCACTCTCCTCGCCATCTTCGCGGCCACCACTCTCGCATCCCCCATGATGCCCTCCAAGCCTGGATCCGCCGCCCCCAGACGACCCGTAGTCTTCGAAGACGTCTCCGAGTACGCTGCCAAGGGGCCCTCGCATGAACTGAAGTGTCATGTCAACAACGGCATTGTCACCTTGGGATCCAACACGGAGTTCGACTGCAAGACGAGGTTGTTCTGTAATGGCGGTGCGCTTTCGTGGAAGCTGCCGGAGGGGGACGTGGTGGATAGACAGGGGGAGATGGCGAAGTTCATGCCGTGTGCTGGTGTCTGCAAGTGCCTCCCCGCGGAAGAAAAGACTATGAAGGCGATGAAGGAGAAGAAGGTGGCAGCATGAGGGGGTTAGAGGGATCAAAGGGGGGAAGGGGAGGGTTGATGATGTCGATCTGGGGACTGAGGTACTCTACACTATGAGGTTGACCTCTGCTTTATATGAAGTCAATTTGCTGAAGCCAAAATGTCGTGGAGTAGTAGACGGTGCAAAGAAGGATCGGATAGAATAGAAGGAGAATAACACCCATTAATCCAAGCCAAGTTTTCCAATTGAGTATGATATGTAGGAACCACCAACTATCTAGATATTCTACGAGTATGGAGTATTTCTACTGAATTGAATTGCTGGGTGTCTCTCGCCGTGGCGTTTGGGCGTGGAACTAAATCCGTCAACAGTCTTTCTCTCGACGACACTGTAGACATAAAAATGACGGACATTTTCTGATAATGAGTTGAGATCTACTCGGACAATATTCCGAGATCTACGCGGAGACGGAGTTTTTCCTTTCATAGAACTTGATACTCCTCTAGCGATCTATTGATACCTCCGGCACCTACGACCACGAGAATTCAACACCGATGCCGTGCCGTTGGAGCCGAAAAGTTAAGTGTTCTCTTCATTGACGATGTAGATATAAAAGAATGCCTGAATACTCCTCACTTTCTCTCGGCATCCTCACCACCATTCAGTCTTTCCAAAACAGTCTTTGCACTACCCACATTCTTTACAGAACAAACCAGTTCACGCACGTTCATTTGCACAACAATACCAAGTTTCTATACACACAACTGATCTACCCCGATTAACAATCAACCAATCCATTCATCCATAATGCAGCTCTCCCACGCCAGCATCATCGCTATCTTCGCAGCCACCACCCTCGCATCCCCCATCGTCACTCCCGCCGACTCCGAATCCACCACCCTCTCATCCCCAGCCGCCAGACCCTCCGACGCCGAACCGCCCAGCCAACCCTACCAGAGGCGACCCGTCGAGTTCGAAGACTTTGAGCGGGACTACGCTCGCCCGCTCCGCGAAGCCAGCGAGAAGCCCCAGCCTCGCCCGATCCTCAAACCCACCAGGAAGCCCGAGTTGACGTGCGATGCGCCGAAGGATGGAAAGCCGCTCGAATGCGGGTCTGTGTTCATCTGCAAAGGATTCAGAATTGATTTGACTCCCTCGGCGCGGGAGATCGTGGAATCTCCGGAACGCCCAGATGAGGCTACACTAGAGAGGTTCTCTACGTGCTTGAATAACTGTAAATGCGCTACTCCAGGGGGGCCGCAGGGAGAGAAGAAGAAGGTGCAGTGGGCTGAGGACGTCGTGGACAATGAAAAGCTCACCTGGCTAGCGTGGATTAGGAAATGGACATCGCTATAAGCAAGCAAGCAAGCACTTCCAGCCGGGAGTGTCAGTTCGTCTTCAAGCAGTTATCATGCGACGATTCTACGTCCGAATAGCCTAGTGCCGACGCCAAGGAGGGATTGTTGGGGTTGAAGTCTTCGGGGGTAGATCTTGAGGAATAATGATAGAAGAAGGTACGGAGTAGAATGGGAGTGAATATGATGCAATAAGTAATAGCAAAGACCATTATACCAAATCATAAATCATCGTTTCCATCGCATGAAAGATGTAGGAGCCAGTAACTATTCTACGAGTAACTAACTACGGAGCATTATTACTACTCGTAGTGGTGCTATGGAGTATATTGAATGGTTGGGCGTCTATCGCCGTGGCGTTCGGGCGAAGCGGGCGGGTGCATACTCATCCACTCCCACGGAACCTGTACATACAATACCATTCCTAGGCGACTAGAGACAATTCGAACAACGAATGCATGGTAGAAAAGATGTATCTGAGACATATCTCATCATGATTATCACATGGTATGGTAAAGTAGTACACCTCCGTACGGAATACTTGAAACATATCGTGCCCGCGGAGGACTTGTCCATAGTACCCTGTAGTACGGTACGAAGTACCACGATCGAGACTACCGAACTATGCTTGTAGGAGTAATGAGTGGTAGGGTAATGAGATACAATAGTGAGATGGTGAGCGGGTAGGGCATAAACCCCCGTCCCATGCTTCCCCCTTCCCCCCCATGTTTACGTTACTCTTGAGTTCGTGACTAACGTTCAAATGTGCATGTGCATGTGCATGTTCATTTTCTCCTTGTGCTCTTCTATTTCTCTTGTCTTACGCAGTAGTGAACCAACTAGTGTCTTCGATTGGAGCGCCCGCCCACCCGCCGTCGTCGCCGCCGCCGCCCCCGCCGCTAATGCGCAACAATCATTGTCTCTCCCAACACCAACGAGTACCACGGGATTAGTTGGGTGGCACAATGCACAATGAAGAAGCACCTCTTCACGCAATAGTGCGATGATGCCCAGATGGAGGAAGATGGAGGAAGATGGAGAGCTACTGTGCGACCGTTCTCTTCGGATCGGCGGTCCAATAATCACCGGGTGCCTCCACATTCAACTGCACGGAGTAACTCGGTATTGTTTCTTGGTACCTAGATTGATGTCGAATTATGTACCTAGGTATGTGAGTGGAGTTGGCAGGAGACGTTGCAGAAAGCTAAAGGCATTCTTCCAGCGGCTGCGGCGTACCGGCGACTACCAGGGTAGACTAGATGGGACCAAATAGACCATTTACTGTACGGGGTAGTTATCCAATCTACGACATGATCATCGCCTTCATGGGGGAGAGGAGGGAGGGGATGCACCGAGACCGAGACATGGAGAGACATGGAGAGACATGGAGAGACGTGGAGAGACAGAAAAGTTGGGATCGGTGTAAGAGATGCAAATGCAATGCAATGCATCACGACTTGAAGCGCAATTCCTCCCTACAAGAGGCACAAGCACATATGTAGTGAGAGATAGGCGATCCAATAGAGGGCAGGTACCTTGCTAGGTAGTCGTTGTAGTCGTCGTAGTCTCCTAGTCGTGGTCGGGGTTTATCTCTTTGACGATGCTCTCTTTGACAGGACCCCCTCCCCTCCCTCCTCCCCCCAACTAGATAACTAATGGCAATTACTGGCGCTTCTCATACGAACAATTAGTTCGATATTAATTTTAATCAATTCGAGACCTTTCCTCTTCTTCTCCTTGCTGTGCTCTTCCTATCCTTGGGAGTATGTTGCTGTGGGCATCGGGCGGGAATCTTGCAACTAGTGGGCGCCAGGTCCAGGGCGTTTCCCTTTCCTCACCTTCCAATCAAGCCCAGATGCATACAACCCTATGGAATTGTACTACGTACCCTACTGTAGCTAATGATGTAAATGTGTGCAACTCAACTTATGGCATTCAATCAATACTTTTAAACAATAAAAGCACTCGATAGGTTGTATGGATGTTTGTACAATTAGTATGCAGTAGCACCTGAAGCTGAACCCAGAACCGCCATCACCATCCATCCATCCATCCATTTCCCCCCTCCCCCTCCTGCTCCTTCCCCCATGCCATGCCATGCCCTGCCCTGCCCTGCCCTGCCCTGCACCTTCCCATTATTCATTATTCGACGGCAGCAAACAACTCAAGCCAATCACCTCCTTCAGGCCTGACCATGTTCCTTATTCTTTAATCCTCTCTTCCCTCCTCTTTGATGATTCCTTTTTCTCATTCATCTCATCTTCCATTTCCTCTTCGTCTTCGTCTTTCTCTCTCTTCATCTCTTCACCTCCTCCCTCTTCCCCTTCTCCCCTCTCCCGTTCTACGTCAGACATGCTCTACCTCATCTTGCCCTTCACTCTTCACCGTCCCATCAACTCCACCCTCATCGCCCGTCAACGCCCATAGCCTACCTATCTAGCCGTCTTCCAAGTCAATCGCACCTTCGCTAAGGAGCATTCGCTTACCAACCCCCAACGTGATTTTCCGATTCGCGCGCATCAGCTCCCTTTTCGTCTCTCAAACCTTACGACTCCTGTTATTTATTATTGAGCCTCAATCAATTCAATTCAATCTCTTGGCTGCCTCAACCTCATCGGTCAACGGTCAATCCTCGTCTCATCTCATCCTTTCCCTCGCCTTTTCTTCATTACTTCTTTCGTTCACTCTCTACCTTCTGCCTCATACTCAACCACACGTCACACCACTCCACAACCGCACCAGTGCGAACGATACAAAACAAAAGAGGCCCCAATGACACATGACAACGATCTGCTTCCCCCTCACAATGGCTCCCGCCCCGCCAGACCCGTCTGCTCCAACGCACTCGCACCCTGACCATAGTGATGGTAATTACACAAACCCCTCCTTCTCCTCTTCCTCCTCCTCCTCCCAAGTACACATCACGCACAATCGTTCCTACCCCTTCCTTGCCTACGCTTCGCACTAGTGCGCACGTCGCGCCTTCCTCGTCGGCCTTTCTCCGCGCTTGACTGACCATTCCCTTTCCCGCAGCCTCTCAATCCCAACCCGCCACCCGAGTCCGTCGAAGAACGCGCAAACGAGAGGGCCCGCCTCAGCTACAATTCCTCACCGCGACCGACCTTTCCCAATTTAAAGATGAGAATGCGAAACGAAGCGTGCGGTCCCAGGCCATGATCCAGTACCGCTACAAGGCCGATCAGCAGAAACGCAAAAGCAACAAGGACAACCCTCGCCCAGAATCGGAGGAGACATCACCCCAGAGTCAGACCTCCCCCGTCGACACCGCCAGCTCGAGTAGCATCTCTCCCACCTCGACCCGACCGCCCCGTAATGATAGCTTCGATAGCGCCACGAGCCTCGGGAGCATTCCCAGCCAGCTCGCCGTCCCAACCTACAGCTTCAGCCACGGCCCAATGATGGCCGAGGGCTTCCACGACCAACACATATATCCTTCCACCACCGAAGCATGGCAGGGCGTCATTCCTGACGAAGGCTTCTCGGAGGATCCCTGGTTCCTGACACAACCTTCGCAAGCGCCCGTCGTCCCCGCATATCATGACCGCTACAGCCGTGCGTTATCCATCCGCCCACTGAACACACCCGCAAGGCGAGTGCTCGAATACCAGGAGACGCAGGAGCATGAGGAAGCCCATATTCGCATCATCGTGTCCGAGTTCGCAAACTTCCGGCCCATTGGTGACACCGTCGACCCGTTCACAGTGCTGCCCCAATTCGCGAGTCCAGAGCTGAGTTCCGTCTACCTCGTCCGAACCTGCAATCGCGCATTCGTGTCCCGTGCCACCATCGTAAAATGGATACCCGTCATGCTCTCCAACCCGCATCTACTCCTCAGCGCCAACAACATCACCTCCACGTGGTTGGATATGCATGCTGGCTGCTCTGGGGACAGTAAGCGCACGGCCTTGGTCAAGTCGGAGACTATCGGTTGGATCAATGAGAGATTGGGACACCCTGAGCATCAATTTTCGGATGCGACTCTCATGGTCATACTTCACCTCTTAGCTGGCGAAATGTGGTCGTCCAACGAGAAAACTCTACGGATCCACCAAACTGGCATTTCTAGGCTGATCTCCCTTCGTGGAGGTCTAGATTTGATCAGTGCTAACGGTAGCGCTTTGGCAGAAGTGTCTACCTCCTGCGTAGTTCACGCCGACATCATCTGTGAAACGGAGCCCTTGGCCATGTTCAATAACTGGAATCCGCCCGAGGTGGGCCCCCTCGACCAGGACACGCCCATGCCCGAGTCCCCATTATATTGTCCCCGATCTGAACTTTTCACCCTGGCTCAGGATCCCAGGTGCTCCGAACTTACCTACGGTATCCTCTGCGACATGCGCGATCTGACCGACCTCGCCATTGCGCACTACAGAGGACTTGAATCAATGCTTGCGGCGACGCAGACGAGTAGGGATCGTGCAAGAATGATGGAATTCGCATCACAGTACGATGCCAAGGTGGCCGAGATCCAGGCCCGCCTCGCAGACTTGCCCTCTGCCCGCCAACCAGACCAGTCTGTGAGCAATGATTGGGTTTACGAGTCTTGCCGCATTGCCGCTATCATTTATGCTTCTGCCATCATATCGAGGGTCCCTTTCTCGCAAGCTGCAGATCCCGGCCGGGCCATCGTTCTCTCCAATGCCAACATGGCCGCCAATGGCCACCTGATGCACCGGAGGCTCACGGAGGCCCTTTACGAAGTAGTGGAGAGGTCGAACATGGAATCGATATGGGGCAACATGGCGGGCACTCTCTACTGGGTGACTGCCGTGGGGGCAGCAGCTGGTCGTACTCGGCTTACTATCAACATTGCTCAGACACCTTCGCGGACTCAAGCTTATGCAGCGTGGATACGCAGATGTTTGATTATGTTTGCTACACGAGTCATGTTACTGCTCATTTTCGAACATCCTCGATCGATCCTGTTGGCACAGAAGAGACTGGTCAAGATCCAGGAGATCATTGCGGGCGGCGCCACCAACTCGAGACTGTTAGCAACCTGAAAGAAAGAGCTGCGAACCCCATAAACAAAGGTTCTGGGAGCTATATCGCCGTTGCTTTACCTTCTTAGGCATGGTCGCAACGCCCTCCTCTTTGTCCGGTAACTCCGGCTCCCACTGTTCACATGCCACTGCAAGCATCACGTGCCATATTTTGTCTCGCATGGAAATCGGCAGGTGGGAATTTCTTCGGCCGGAGAGATACGAGTCTCGCTATGACATGGCACTCGACTATCATTGTGTCATGGACGGGCGACTCACGATGGCTCAGGCTCTTTCTAGGATGACTCGCTAAAGTTTTCTAGGGAGCCGTGGTCTGGTGTGCAGCCTTGTTGCTGGCGTCGGTCAGATATCGATTTGCACTTTGAAGATGACGGGAAATGTCAGATTCCCCGCTGCATGGAATGCGAGCCACGTTGTTCGATCATGCCACGCCTGCTTACGATTCTGACATCACTAATCCGATCTCTGAGTGATCCTCGTGGAGAGGTCGAGAATGCACAGAAGAAGAATAACAAGAGCCAGCCCCGTTTTGTGAATTTCGTCAATTTCTTTTCTTAATGGCATGGCGCCCGATGTACATTATTGCATGTACGAACTTGAACGCTTTTGTTCGAGACCCTTCGATTCGGATTACGGGCTTCCACAGTCCCGCGCACGAATGACGGAACGGTAGGAAGTACAGGGCCTAGGTGGTAACTCAAACAGGAAATTTCGAGCGCGCATGACTTGCGACCGGCGCGATGCTTGACAGCAGCGAACCCTGAGGCCAAGGCCAAAGACGGGTAGGGCTTAATGGGAAAGCCAAACAAGTTTGTACGATATGGGCATGGCGCCTGTGCAAGTTTCCTAGGTCCGTGTCATAGGTTGTTGGTCATGGTCATAGTAGTGCTGTATTGATTGCCATGTTGGTGGCTCTTTACGCACGGCTTAGGTATTGTCAGGTCCGACAATTGCGTCTTGCGAGCATGGAGTCAGCGTTGACTGCTCTGCGTAGCTAAGTGTGACAGGAACTATCCGTCGACACTGCCAAAAAACAATAAAATCATTGCATCTGTACTTGTACCTGCACCCGTATCGTGTCTGTTCCGCAACTTAGGTTCGATCGCGCGGAGAAAAGCTTCAATCTAATCCCCATGCTTACCCCAGTCAAGTTGCTGACCACGTTCTACACCCGTCCGTACCAATCGTCATTGTCGTACTGGAAGTAATTTCATCATTCGCTACTCGCTACGGGTGCAAAGTGTCCGGTCGACCGTAAAGCAGTGAGCACAGAAGTCCGAGCGCGGCTTCCTTGCGACCCGATTAGCCAGTTTGAAGCCACCACCACCCATCAGGAAGACCGAAGCACCGAGCCTTACCATACGACCTTACGAATCGAGCGACTTATATTTAATTTCTGCCTGCTCGCGAGATGAACCAGACAGAGATTATCGCAATCAGTGTTCTACTCAGTTTCATCGCCCTAGCAATCATGGCCGTGGTATCTCGCATCGCGTGGACTCACCACAAATCCCTCAAGGACTCGAACTACGCAAACGAACATACAGTCGATATGAACCATGATCCCAAATACAGCTCTTTTCAATTTGACAACTCCTGGAAGAGGAAGTTGAGTACCAAGCAGAATAAGGGTCACTGGGTCCCCACTCTCTCTGGCATGATCAAGGCTGGGGATGAAGCCGTCTACAGCTCGTCGCTCTTCCATCAGCTCGTCGCTCTCCCTGGAGAGATCACCCTTCAGATGCTGAATAATGCATTCGCAGAAGAATTGAAGAAGAAGCCTGCCGCAGCACGAGCCGAGCTTTCACAAGATATCGCGAAGTTCATCTCCGCTACAACTCATACTCGTAGCCGCAGGAGATCGCGCGAATCGTTCGGTCAGGAACCTAAGCAAGAGCCCGCTGGAAGGCATCGGTCCCGGTCCTCTATCGATATACTGGAGCGAGGCCTCAGTCGCTCAACTTCCAGGTCCAAGAAGTCGAACGACATCCTCGTCGGCACATGCAACCCGGTACCGTCATCCCAAGGGAAGGCGATCAATTCCTGGGCCCATGATCTCCGTCCAGGGAGTCTCGACGGCAAGTCAAACATCATCGTCACTCCACCCGAGCTCGCCGCACTGGCTATCACTCTTGGTATCCAACCCGAGTTTATGCATGACTTGAGCGGTCAAACAGAACGCAAGAACCCGGTGGTGCACGGCAACGGTGCGTTTGGCATTTCCATGCATGCGGTCCCGACCGTAGACGAACGATACCAAATAACTCTCACACAATTCAAGCGAAAGATCTCACAGCTTCCCGCGCGTGGATCCGGCTTCTCGACATTGTACGCCAAACACCTGGCGTCTGGTTCCCTTCCATTCCTCCAGGACGAGAGGGCCGTCAACTCCATCTTGGTCACCGGCGAGACTCTCCATGCACTCAAAGAGGGTTCGAGTGTCCATTTCGAACCATCGTTGTCCGACTCGAAGGCGGCGAACTTCCTTCAAAGTCTTCCAAGCTCCCGACAGTCTCGATTCTTTGCTCTCGCCCCATCGACGAACTCAAATTCCTCGACATCACTTCTACTCCATGCCATCACAGCGATGCCGTTCAGCGGCGGCCTCGTTCCCATCGCCTCTGCACCCCTAGTAGATACTGTGCAATTCGTTACATCGGCCGGCCTTCCCGCTGCTCGCCTCCTTCAGCGATTAGATGCACTTGTCGACAAGGTCAACCGCCACTCTCCCCATCTTCAGCTTTTTGGTCCGCTATTCGATGACGAAAACGCTGGCCTCCGCGTCCGTGTCGATGAACGCCTTAACAAGCTCGCCACCGATCCCACCGCCTCAGAACCCATCATCGACAAGGCGGCACGCATGCACCGCTACACCACGCTCCTAGAACGTCTCATGGCCCTCGTCCCAGACACCACCCCCGCAGAAGTCCTCATCGCCGTCCGCGAGGCCCTACAACGGGACATCGAACACAGCTATCAAGATGCCCGAGCCGCCCACAACAACCCCGACATCGCGACCACAATGGCCGAATTCATGTCCCTCCCCCGTCGCTGCCACCTCTCCAACCCAGCCTCGACCACCACCTCCATCCCCACGCTCTCCCCCGTCTCATCGCCATCGTGCAGCCCCACGACCCCCAAATCCGGCACCTGGTCCCCGCGCCGATCCAGCACGACCTTCCCGCCCCACAACCTCGGAAAGCAGGTCGAATCCATACTCAAAGCCAGCCTGCCTCTCTCCGTCGAGACTATCGCAGTCGTGGCGCGCCTCGTGCTCGTCGCGTGGACGCTCAGCGTCGAGCGCGTGGCGTGGGAGGATAGCGACGAGGGGGTGAGGCTGCCGGCGGTAGAGGAGCTGCCCGAGGTGATGGCTATGCGATGATTGTCTTCTCTCCTTTTTTCTTCTTCCTCTCCTTTCTTTGCTTTTTCTTGCCCCTTTCGATTGGTTGTTGTTGCCTGTTGTTGTACTATTAGTGCTTGTGCGATTAGCGGAGGCGTTTTCTTCTTCTTTTCAAGGTTTGAGGTTTGGAGTTTTCATGGTTTTGGATGTTTTGGAGTCTTTGGGAAGGGAGTTTGGGGTGGCGTATTGGATTGGATGTGGGATATGAGTTAATGGCATTTTGTGAGAGTAGTACCTATTATAAGAGGATTATGAGTAACTTGAATGAAATGAGATCAAACAAAATGATGAAATATGGTTCTGATATTCACGGTAAATCGTTGTCACAAGCGAACTATGTGCTATAAAAAAAATATACATGTATGTAGGTATGTATTGCCCTGTCTATCCAATAGGTACACACTCTAATCCCCCATGACCTCCAACCCCCGACAAACGCCCACCCACCCATCCTGCATCGCCTTCCACACCTTCTCCGTCTTCTCCTCCTCGGCACAATCCCTCTTCCTCTCCCTCCTCTCCAGACTATCGCCCGTGCCCTCCGCCACGTTCACCGTATCCACGCCCCCGGATTTCCGCTCCCGGCTCCCGAGGCGTCGGTGCGCAGCACCGCGGGCGATCAGCGTGTCGGTCTTGAGGCCCTTGCCGTCGAGCTCGCCCTTCACTTCGTAGCCCCTGCGCACGGGGCCGTGGATCGTCGCCGGCGTGATGAGCGTGGAGTCGAGGAGTGCGTGCCAGCGGGAGAGGTACATGCCTGGTCCGTGGGTCGTTCCCTTTGCGTGCGGGGCCTTGGGACTGGTGGGGGGAGAGGTGGCTGGTGGGTGGCGGTTCGTGAGGTCGTCTTTGTCTTTGGTGGTGTTGTTGTCGTAGGATGTAGTGGTTGAGGTTGCGGTTGAGGGGGAGGACACGAGGATGGTTTTCAGGCGCGACCGTGAGGTCGATTTCAGGTGTTGGAGGTGCTTTGCGTGCTGGTCGAGCTGCGCGGTGAGGTCTTTCTGCTTGTCGGCGGGGAGGGAGGAGAAGATGGCGTGGAGGGGCGCCGTCATGTTGCCTGCGGCGGCTTCGCCCCGGTCGTCGGATGAGGCTGCGAGGACGTCTGGATCGTGGACGCGGAACTCGGACGCGATGTCTTTCGCGTAGACGAGGTACTGGTTTGCGAGCTCCGGTGCGTTCTTGCAGACTTGGTGCAGGAACTTGTGGCACGATGGCGCGTGCTTGCGGAGGAGCTGGACGTAGTCTTCGACTTTGGGGATGCTGTCTGGGTGGTAGCCGGATAGGGAGTCGGTGATGCTGGCTGGTGTCTCGGTGTCTTGGTCCGGGTTGTGATGGGGGGATGTGGACCGGCTGTTCGATTTTGAACTTGGTCTGCTTCCACTGTTATTGCGGCTGTGGAGCTTCTTGGGCTTCGAGATCTTAATAAGGTCGTTGAGGAAGTTCTCAGCGTCTGTGATTGTGTCGGAGAGGTTGACTGCGTTGTGGACGTTTCGAATGACGGGGTCGAAGGCGGAGACAAGGTCGCGCAGAGCCGATGTGAGCAGGTCGGGCTGCATCTTGCAGAAAATCTTAGTGAGCTCCTCTCTGTCGCGGATAGAGAGCAGTGTGCTGTAGTACTCCATTGCGATGTCATGCTGATGTTCAGTCAATGACTCTAACTCTATGGGTGTCTCGGCTGTTGTAAGAATAACGGCGATGATGGATTTCGATTCCGCGATGGAGATATTCCGAGCTGCCTCGTGTTGATCCCTTGGTGCATACACATAGCTTTTGATGGCTTTGAACACCTTCCTCTCGGGAGCATCTCGTTGCGACTCGAGCTTCTGGGCACGACGCTGGAATTCAGAGGTATCCCAAGCCATGACAGTCGAAAGAATTTGCTGCATCAGATTCATGCCGTCATTTGCGTTGTTGGTAAGACCAAACCAGTTGGTCACCGCAGTGACGGAAATCTTGGTCAAGACCAGCCTGACCATCCCGTTTATCATAGTGGCAGCGTTTCCGACGCGAAGCGTCTGTCTGACGAGACCGTATGGGATAAGGCGGTGAACGTTCTCGATAAGTCGGATCATGTACTGGCCATCTGGAGACATGATAAAAGTATGGTGTAGGAAGGAGGCAAGGTTGAGGATAATGTATTCGTGCGCAGCTTGGATCAAACTTGAGTGGTCTTCGAGATTTCCTGTTTCGCCCGTCTTCTTGAATGCCTCGTCCAGCAGGTTTCCATATATGGCTTCTCTCATTGCGTCGTCCCATGCGCGCAATAGATCTTCTGGTTTGCTCCTGTCGTACTCGTTGTCCTCGGATGTCCCACTTTCGCTCTGTCCCACTGGATATCCGCCCAGCATGCCCCGCGCAACGTATTCCAGAAGAGCACTAATAGCAGTTGCAAGTGCTTTCCGAGCGCCGATGGCTCCCTTATCGTAACTCTCGCTCAGCTCTGCCTCCCCTAGTTTCATTACCAACGCTTTAACCTTCTCTTGCCAGAATTCTAGGCTGATATCCTTCAGTCCTGGAAGTTGCAGGGCAAATTTATTGACCATGTTCTGCAACAGCGGGGACGTGGTTTGTACTCCATCTTCCTTGCGGAACGGATATCCGTATGTCGTTATCGCTTTGGGGTATTTGAATGCCTCGATCTCGGAGTAGAGCTGGTGGTGGATCAGAACATCGAAGAGAGCGTGTGTCTGCGCGGCCGTGAGAGGTGGAGATGTCATGATGGAGGGGTATGGGGCATTCTCCGGCGAGAATGCAGGTTGGGTTGGGTTATGGTGAAGATATACTGTGGGTTGGAGGTGTATGTTTGTGTAAAGAGACCATCATCGACGACAGCGCACCCGTAACCTTCGTATGGTTTGCTGCCCTCGTTAGTCTGTGGGACGCGATAGTCGTAGTTCGGCGTGGGCGATGGAGGTCCCGACTCCCGAGGAGATGGCAACGTCATCGGTGAGGCTGTGGTGGCTGAGAATTTCTCTTCATCTGCGTTACATAAGCGAGGTTGAAGATCCGCCAATCACCAAATAGTTTCAGCTTTCTACGCATTTATGCTTGTGTTGACTAGGTACCCTTTTCTATAAAGAATAAGATTATTGGCATTGATATCTTCTTCTCAGCTTAAAGCCTTGAATAGGGCACTCTTAGCTTGCATTGATGACCTGCCAGATCATGAGTTCCAAGCGTATACATCTTCAAGCATAAGGAGGAGTTCGATTGGAATTCATTTCATTACATATAAGGCTAACTATTCATTTACATTGATCAGCGCCCTTCAGCTGCCGCCTCTCAATAGCCACTTTTCGACTCTGGCGGGTAGACAACAATTCTATCAAGATCTGCACCCTTGGTATCGAATCCATTCCATAATCCACCAACCGTGATGGTATTGTTGCTTCCCTTGTTCAGAGTCAATTCTAAGGGGGTTGAGAGTATTATTCCCTTGTGTGTATCACGCTGGAACAACGTCTGAACATCGTCCTTCTTTCCGTTCACGACAACACTGCTGATACGTCGTAGCTGCCAGGTGCCATTGATGCGATCGGGCGTGCCACCGGGCTGGTCGCCGAAACCCATGTCGTCGATGTTTTGGTAGTAGAAGCTTATCCATTGCGGGACGCCGGCCCCCTCAATGCCTGAGAAGGTCACAGTGGAGTCGTTGCCGTAGATGCCAGTGGCAATGACGCCGTTGCTCGCGAAATTCGCCTCTTGGTGGAATGCTTCACCAGCAGTCTCGGCGTCGGATGCAAAGTATGGCTTGCCCTCGATGGGTGTAACCTCCCCAGACTTGACATCAAGGTCATACACATCATACCAATCAACGCTAAGGTCCTTCTTCTCGTCATCGATGGTCATGGGCAGCCAGATGTAGCGAGACTCCCACAAGCTGTTGCTGTCCCACTGGTCGCCCATGTACAGATAGGTAGTCTTCTCCGTGCCGTTGATGCGGATTGAAAAGCCAGACTGCGAGTTGTATGTTCGAGTATTCAAAGGCGAGACAATCCATGGCTGCGACCAAGGTCCCTCGAGCTTGTCAGCGCGAAACGCCACGACGTTATTCGGCCTGTATCCAGTCTTGTGCGACATCAATGCATAGTAGCTCTGTTCGGTCTGGATGATGGTAGGCGCTTCAAGATCGTATTTGTCGAACCGGTGCACGACCTCAGTGAGGTTCTGAACCGCAGTGTCGTATGCCGTGAGGTAGACATCGCGGCCCTCACGACGGTCACCATTCGAGTAAAGGGAGTAGCTTCGGCCGTCTTTGTAATCGGTAAAGATACCGAAATCCTGACTCCAATTGCCCAATGGAGAGATCGCACCCTCGAACTCGTAGGGTCCCTGTGGGCTATCGCTCGTCGCGAAACCCTGCAGCAGCAGCGAATACTTGGAGTCATCCGCATGCCAATGCATATGCCATTTCCCAGTCTCTTCGCTGTAGACGACTTTCGGGCGTTGAATGATGTGCTTAGGTGCGATATAAGGATGTCCCTCGATGGGCTCGAGCGCAAGGCCGTGGTGTTCCCATGTCGCAAGATCGGTCGAAGAGTAGACGGAGACACCGCCGCCTTCAACTTGACCCTGAACTTTGTACTCGCCAAAAAGCCAGAAAGTACCGTTCGAATCGAGGGTCACGCAGCCAGCGTGGGCATTGACCAATTCGCCGGCAGTGTCGCGCCAGCGGCCGCCAGGTACGATGTACTTCGCTGACACCACGGCCGCGAGCAATGAGACAACAGAGAAAATCATGGTGAAGGTACGACTCCAGATTCACTGCGGAAGCTAAATTTTTTCTCAATTGCCCCTGGACTTTATTTGTACAACCAGAAAACCCATCTCCGCATAAATTGCGCCGAGGCCTATAGTCGGTGTACTTTACCCCGAACCCCAAGTCCGCCAAGACGATCTATATTGCGGGGATGAGGCTTTGCTTGGGGTATTCTCCGGATCGTCATCGATAATTTCCATGGTATAAGCTAGGTTTTTGCAGAGGATTGGTGGACGTTGATGATGTCGTGTCGGCCCATGGAGTGACCTGTTCCTAGCCTGGGGTAAGCCAAGCTGCGAGGAACAATTCGCGTCCGTTTCTCGTCGCGTTTCTGCGTTCAGCCTATGCTTGGGTACGGAGGCTAAACATAGATGGCAGTGCTTCCATTAATTGAATTTGTACTCGTGCATCCTTCCGCCTGCTATTGCTTGGAGATTTCTTGGGGTTGCGTCTTTTCAAACTATCACGTGGTTATGGTATACACAGTAGGGACCATCGAAGAGGTTGGAGCAATTGCGTCATCGCCTGTAGCTCAAGTCTATACGTGAATTTTTACGAAAATAGTAGCATCAGGTCATGTCTTTGCCCTAGTTGTGGACTTAGAGATGACAGAGAGTGGTCGTAGACGTTTAATGTTGAAATTGTAGTGTTTCAATCAGACGGGTATAGCGATATCCCAATAGACCGTATGGAAAAGGGAAAAGGATTGCATTCAAAGCCACAACAACATTGAACATTAGTACATAGGCCACTAACTTCATTATAGAGAAAACGAGTCCACTATTTTACCTCAACGGACGATTGCAGTTGGGCAACCGTACAAATAACGATTCAGGTACGCAACTACGCGTGGACCCTTGTGTGGATAGCTCTCTCTTGATTGGCCAGGATATCAATAGGCAAGGATTTTCGCGAAGAAGAAGTGTAATCAGCTCAGTAGACATGCACACGTTGGCTGGCTTTTCGAGTACGTATATGTTCATTGAACAATGTGAATGAGCTGCAGTTGCGTAAATGTAGTTTTTAACTACGACTGGTAGGAGTCGCATGCACAACAATGTATGTGACGACTAGTAGAGAGCTACAAACTGGATGGGAATGAGATTAGTCTTATGAGACACACTCTCGACTCGGAGAACAACACAAGGCCAACCGCACGATTCGACTGTGACAATCTGCTTCCCAGCACTACGGATGGCGGCCATGTCATCATCTGCATGTGGGCAAATCCAGACGGGTGCCTGTTGAAAGATTCTGTCTGAGGCGTTGCGGCACGAGACGGATCTATCACGCAATTTGCTAAGCAAGTACGGAGTGCGAATCTTTGATCTATATTGCGTCGTCGCAGTCCGAAGTCATACGAGTGGCTTCATGTAAACGGTCAATTAGAAGCACTTTAAACCTTTGGAGCGAAGAGAAACATGATCGCCGTTGGCGTGGCAATTTCAAATTAATTAGCGCAGCCACTCGCGGATCACTGTTGGCCAAGGATTGTTTAACGTTCTTGACGTGGGGAATCAAGGTGGCCCAGCCGTCGTCAAGAACAATCAAGACTGCACAAGCAACTCACTAGCTTCATAAGTTGCGATCTGGCAAAAAGATTCATAATATCGAGACTCATTGCAATTTCAACTTTTTATCGTCAATTAAACTGCTAGAAAAGGGTTCAAAGGCATAATGTCTTTGTGAGCTCTGATGCCATTCCAACAGGAATACGAATCACGTCATTCGCTAGTTTTTCCAGTGCAACGCTATGCTGTAATACCAACTTGCTGCTGAAGGAAGGTCGACCAGATCCCTCACGGCGACCGTAAATCTTCTTAAATAGAGGATTTCCTCTGCAAGATCGCCAACCGCGGACTCTCCTACAGACCCTTTTACACAAGATGGATCCCTCTCCCGATAAGCCTGGCCTCGTGCCCACTGATACGAAAACCAGCAGCCCCTCTAGGGCTGAATACGAGGCTAGCCTTCATGCACGAAAGCATGACAAGCTCAACCGAGCCTTGTCAAATCGACAAGTCCAGATGATTGCGATAGGCGGCACGATTGGTACCGGATTGTTTCTTGGCACTGGCAAGGCTCTCGCAACTGGTGGACCGGCTTCGCTATTGATATGTTATCTGATCGTTGGTGTGATTATTTACATCACCATGCTTAGTCTTGGAGAGATGGCAGCGTTCATGCCTATTGCGGGCAGTTTCTGTACCTACTCTACGTGAGAATGACCCATGGATGAACCTTTCATTGACTTCAAGCTGACCTTACTCTGCTAGACGCTTTGTTGATGAGGCTCTCGGCTTCGCGCTGACCTGGAACTATTGGTTCAACGATGCTGTTAGTACGGCATCAGATCTAGTTGCAGTTCAATTGGTATTGAAGTACTGGTCGGACAATTTTCCCGGTTGGGCCATCAGTTTGGTCTTCTGGGTTTTCCTTATGGCATGCAACATAGCCAGCGTGAGATTATACGGCGAGGTGATTAATGGTCGTCCAATTAGAGCTACCATAAGCTAACATGGGTCCATAGATCGAGTACTGGCTGAGTATTCTTAAAGTCATAACCATTTTTGTATGTTGTTCCTTATCACAGCCCCAATGTCGAACCGCTTGTTAATTTGTAACAGGTGTTTATCATTCTTGGTGGTGCAGTAAACGCTGGAGGCAACACCGAAGGTCATTACATCGGCGGAGAGAACTGGCGCATCCCTGGCGCTCCATTTGTTGATGGGATTGGAGGTTTTGCTTCTGTGTTTGTCACTGCAGCCTTCGCATGTAAGTACCATGACTATTTCGGTTGTACCTCGATGCCCTTATTAACGCAATAATTCCAGATGGCGGCACCGAGAGCATTGCGATCACAGCAGGCGAGACCAAGAATCCTGCGAAAAATCTTCCCCGGGTAGTCAAGAATGTCTTTTGGAGAATTCTTTTCTTCTAGTAAGTCTTCTTCCGCGGTATTGAGATCGAGGGGCTCATACTGACTACCTACAGTGTCCTCGCAAGCGTTATTATTGGCTTGAACGTTCCTTACAACTACCCCAATCTGAGCACGAAAACCTCACGAACGTCGCCTTTCACCATCGTTTTCCAGATGGCCGGTGCCCATTCTGCAGGTAGCGTCATCAATGCAGTCATCCTGACCAGCGTCATCAGTGCTGGCAACCACGCTTTGTTCGCCGGTGCTCGCTTGATGTATACTCTGGCAGTTGAAGGCCACGCGCCGGCATGTTTCGGCAAGCTCAACCGGCAACGAGTCCCTTGGGTTGGCGTGCTTCTCACCGGTGCGATTTCCGCATTGTGCTTTGGTGCAAGCTTTATTGGTGCTGGTGACCTCTGGAACTGGCTTCAGAAGTAAGTCATATCTATACTACTCTAACATCAAACCATGCTGATTACTGTTAGCATCGTTGGCGTTTCAAACCAACTGAGTTGGATATCCATTGGCTTAACCTCGATCCGTTTCCGAGCTGCATTGAAAGCTCAAGGCAAGACGCACCTTCTGCCTTTCCGCAACTGGACCTATCCCGTAGGCCCTTACTTTTGCGTTATTCTCAACATCTTTCTGGTTCTGGTACAGGGCTGGAAGTGTTTCAGCCCCACATTCAAAGCGGTCGACTTCGTCAGCTATTACATTGAAATTGCTATTATGCTTCTCATGTACGTTGGCTGGAAGGTCGTCAAGAGGACAAAAATCGTTAGGCTCAGTGAGATGGATCTTGAGACAGATACCTACACGATTGAAGTAGAGCACGCTTCGTCTATTGAAAAGGTTCCTATCTGGAGGAAAGCGCTAAATTGGCTTGCATAGAAATTAGCAAATTACTCGAGCGTACGCCAAAACTGTTGTTAGCTATTCATACTTTTCTGAACTCTACCCTCTATATATGGAAAGATGCGAAATGGAGAACTAGCTGCTTCCTCAGTGTGAGAGCGACGTCGCCTGGAATGTAAGAATATGGAAAGGTAATTCTGCTTTGAACATCCTGTAAGGTGAATATAATCGCTAGCAACAGCGTTGAACAGTAGAGTGATACTGTAGAGATATGGAAATCGGGGAGGGGCCCTGACAATAAGCCCCAATGCCCCGCTGAGAGCAAACACCACCATCTTATCCCCTCGGCATACCCATTATACCATGATCTTCACCAAGAAACCAACATATCATTGTTTGTCTTATTGTTTTCGCCTTGTTACTAGCCGACAGAGAAGAATCGTATAGACATTTTTTAAAAATTGGGTTTGAACCTCCGTGAAAGCGCAAGGGCCTGAGCCATTTTACGCAGGAAGAAACAGATGCCAACGCTGCTAAAGGTCAGTATTCAAAGCCAGCCACATCCTACAATTGCTTATCATTCTGCAGGTAGTACTGCAATATACGATTTCAACTTTTCTCTTATGGGAAACAATGCCGAACACACGGTTGTCAAGTCTGGCGACAAGGGCAAACAACGGCGGGAGAATGAGGCAGCAGTGCTTCGCCTTGCTGAACAACTTGGGCTTCCGACACCACGGGTCCGCGAGCTCAAAGAATGTGTTATAGACGGCAAGTCCGAGATTTTGATAAGGATGGACAACATCGAAGGTCAAACACTGAAAACCGCCTGGCTAATCTTTTCGCCGTACGAGAAGCATGACGTTTACGGGCAGCTCCGCGATATCTTGGACGAGATGCGCGCGAAGTCCGATGGCCTGGTACCACCATAGGATCTCTGAATGACCGCGAGACTATGCAATGCCGTCTGTACGGTGTCAAAAACGGTGATCCATTTCGAATGGAAGAAGAGCTAAGTGAGTTCATCCTTGACATCCATCACCTCACACCAATACCGGTGCGAGATACACTCGTGAAGCACCTCCGCGCGGATCGTAGTATCGTCTTGCCGAATGGTCACATACATCAAGGTAACATCACCATAAAGTAGGGGAAGGTAACGGGACTGTTGGACTGGGGATTTGCTGGTTGGTAACCCGAGTATTGGGACTATATTAACTTCTGTAACATAAATGCAACGCATGAACATTGGCCGGAATATGCTAAAGAGATTTGTTTTCAGATACCTGTGATAATGAACTACTATTTCATTTGGCGCTCGGTAGAATTCAGGTTGGTTAGATTCTAATTTATGGCAACTTGACGTCCTCCTTTTCGAATAATCTCCCGGTACGACCGCATCAAGCTCTATTAGTTTTGATCTACTCAATGTTGGCAATCATAATAGGGAGATGTCTTCCTGAAAGGTGTTTGCAGTAGAAAGAATTGGGTAACTAGTTCTTGGAATCTTTCATCACATGGTTATCATTCAAACTCCTAAACAACTACCTCAGTACAATTGCTCCAAGGATCCGAAAGTAGCAATCATAGCTTCACATAGCTTCACATATGCCTACACTCTCAGTATATGTAAACCGAAACGGAGGCCAAAGACCTCCACAATTCCTGCATCCCATTGGCTTTGCGCATTGAAGGCTGTCTAGTGCAGCCTAACATCCCCCGTGACATTACCATGTGTCGACTACGGGATGATCGGAACCACCACAGGCACTGTCATGCAATGAGGCTCGTTGATATTGGCAGGTGTTCCACAAATTCTGGCCATTTCCACCTTCGTTGGGTAATGCCGTTTTGGAGAGAAAAGAGGGGCACATGTAAATATGCAGATCGGCTCGTATCGTACAATGTATGCGACCATGAGAAGTAAGAGCACGAACAAGATAATGATGTAAGGCTTCAGAGATCTAGGTGTGGATGAACTTTGAGCTGTACGGGTTGGGCTATCGCTTTGTTGTTCATTCTTGCAATCGTGATTGGAGGCCTTGCCACCGTGTTGTTTTTCATCGGACATGGTGCAATCTGACAAGCTTGCGGCGAGACGATATGGATGCGTCTGTTGCTCGGGCCACCCAGGGCTAGAAAGTAGTCGCTAAAGTCACAGCAACTAGTGGTTTAAGCTGTGGTATGTTCGAAGCTCAAGTCTGGTGAAATGATCTTGTGAGTGAGATGTTCAATGAATCATTATGAATGCAAATGTCGGGGCTGAGGGGCGTGGCTGAGGGGCGTGGCCAGAAGGATGCGCGTCCGTGCGTGAACATCTTCCCTGACCGTCAGGAAACGTTCCCAAGGCTACAACTGTGCCACAGCTATAATTTGGCGAAGACATTATTCAACTTTTAAGGGGTGAAAATGTGGTTTTCAGGAGCAATTTCAAGTACAAAACAGACTGGAAGCTAGCAGGCGGCTACCCCGAAGTGCCTGTATCCGTCTCGCGAAAGTGGTTGCTCGAAACAGGATCTAACCGCGTCCTATTTCATCAAGGTTATTGGCACATACATGTTCCAAATTTGCAAATATAGGAATGTAAGCCAGTCAGGTTGATACAACCTTTAGTTACTTCACAAACCCCCATTTGGACTGCATGCCGACGAGAATGTGCCGATTATCGACCTCAAGCTTTACGTTCGCGAGGAAAACAAAATTTATGAACTTCAAGACTTCAGAGCCTCAAAATTCCTAAATGCTACCTTATGTGAAAACAAATTTCATCGCGTTAGACAGAATGATGACAACTAGGGTTCACGTGCGTTGGCCAACCGATTCCAAGACAAAAATCATCAACATGCATCCAATCCTTGCGCTCGCATACAGTCATATGTACGGCAATGACGCTGAACAGTCGAAGATGCTTCTCCCAATCATAGACGATCAAACGCTGACCATTCAAAGAGTTAATAATACCAGCATTATGCCCAGCGACTCATCAATGAAGAGACTCGGCACGGAGCTTACACAATTGACGATGTACTTTCATACCAGACTCGGACTATCTGAAATAATATACATTGAGCCCTTGCAGCGGCTATGAAGCAGGGATTAGATGTCCCAGCATGACTCCACCCCACCTTCGACATTGGCGCTGAAGCTTGGGGAATCAATGTAAATTGCCTTGGTCTCCGAGGGCAATTATCTCATTCGCTGTTTAGACGTTGATTCAACATCAAACTGATATGCCATCATGGTTAGTAAAACTACAAAGTCTAGTTCCGATGGGACCGAATGAAAAGGTTCATCCACGACTAGAGTTCAATTCATGTTGAACTTCCTATCTGGAGATTCCGATAGCCCATCGCGGCCCGGGCGCTCGGTTAAAGTGAAGTGCATGCCATGATGTCCAAGAGCCATGGCACGAATTCCGGCTGTCTAGTATGTCTAAGAAAGGAATGCTCTACAGGGAGAACATTATGAAAACAGATTCGCTCGATGCATGAAGGAGTATTATTGTATTGTGTAGTCTACTCTCAGTTAGATCCAGACCAAAACATATGATCAAGGATGCATCGAGTACGAGGTAGACACGGGTAAATTTAGAGATATGTAACTCTTTTACTGTGTAGTTCTCAGTCTTTTATAATATTGAGTGATCCTGTAAAAACATATCTTCTTTACCAATTTTTCCCTCTCTCTGGGCCCTTTCCCCTCTTGCTTATCTGTATCTACCCCTCTTAACTTCCTTCTATCTTCTTGTGCAATATGGCATTTATACTTGCATTGTTGACTCTAGCCGTAGTGGCTCCTGTAACTGCATTGCCCTTGAGTCTCAGACAGGAGCATTGCAGCACGACCTGGAGCTATAGGCCAGGTAGCGGTAGAGACTATGCCCCGCCAGGAAACTACCGAGCGTTCAATCTCAATAATTGTGAAGCACAACTTAGCTTCAACAAGGATCAATACGTTTCTATACAATGGGCCTTTGAGGCGACCTATGCTGATGGGAGTCGCGCAGAACATAAGCCATTCCGTGACTTTGATACCTTCGGAGTCAGCGACACATTCTATCCTTACCTTGGGAATAACTTCATCACACGTTATCCAGGAAGCTCGGCGTTCACTGCAGTGCACGAGTTCGTCAATGTTTGCAAGGGTGGGCAATCCCCAGTCTCATGGAGGTTCTACACCACCGCATCCTCCTGTTTCACGTCTCCCAGAATATCGGCAGTGGGCGGTGTGTCTCGTCCAACAAAGGTAGCTAGTGTCTCATTGCGAAGAGTCAACGATGCAGGCGACTTTCGAGTTAGCTGGTCCCCAGTCTCGGGAGCTACTGCATACTCTGTCATTGTCCAATACCCCACTGGAACCGACGAGATTGGAAGACCATATCTTAACGTAAGAGGCGCGCGTATTCAGGTGAGCCTCTCTAAACAGATTTTAGTTGCTTTTTTAATTGATTGCTAGGGAACGACAACTGAGATACCGACAACGGACCGGAGAAAGGACGTTTCACGAGACGTCATTGTTCATGCCGTTGATTCTGCAGGAGTTTGGTCTTTGACTAAAGATGTTCCCTCAGTCATAGCGAGTTGGTAGATGCCTGTTCTTTGCTACGCAATTGAGGAGTGGAGGGTAATTTGGGGTACCTTTCAAGATGTTGCGAAATTTGTCTGGTATTACTGGTGTCATGTGAGTTTTAGACATATTTCCGCAGATAGTAGCAATGTGATAAGTGAGCATGGAGAAACTAAGATCTTGGCCTTGTAGCGTTGTCATTACACCAAGCCACATTGGAAGCCCATCATGCGAATCAACTAACGATGGCCGCATTCGAGTTTGTAAGAACTTTGTTATGCCACAAAACTGCTTATTTTATCTAGTTAGGCGTAAGATGGAGATTACTCCTTTCTTGTAACGCATTGCTCGTGACAAGTCGACAATCGTCATCTGAAGAACATACAAACCGCGCACTAATATTTCCGAGGATACTATACGGACTAATCCGAACCCAACCGGCACTTCAGTCGCTTCAGGTTGATCTGTATCCTGGATTACCAAACGTCTTTTATGTGCATTCATGCCATAGGAGACCCTTATTAAGCCTGACAACCTGCCTGGGCAATGTCATTGAGTTAGCACAACAGGAATTTGGGACGTGCGAAAGGTTTCTGTTGGCAGCAAAGCACGAGGTCTTTTGTTTATCGGGCAACAAATGGCCAAGTTTCTTGGCAACTCAGCAGATTTAAATCAGAATTATTTTCACTGTATAAAAGAGTAATCTACTACAATGCTATTTACCTACTGTTCCTTATCGAAATAGAGTACACATACGCTAGCTCAAAGTAGGAGGGCCTGACCTTATGTAAGCATATCATTTAACGCTAATTAGTCTAAAGGATGTATTTTTCCTCTAGTAATGTAGCATTTCCTTCTCCCCAGCGTCAATGTTTATACCCTTTACTCGCTCTCCTCGAGGCGGAGCAGCATGGTTCAACGCAGGGCCTGTTCGATTATATCCAAATGTATCAAACAAAGACAGCGCTCTTGCTCAACAACGACTGTGCCATGACCAGTACATGGCTGGATGTAAGGTGTTTCACGTGCCCAAAGAAGATGCAACGCAAGCTTCTCCAATAGCCATCGATGATTGGAAGGACGGAGAGACAAATACAAAAGACCAGGTAATGGTTTTTCAGTATAATGGAAAGTTTGTTGCCGTCAATCACGTATGTCCACCTTGGCTGTACACTTCCAACTACCTTACCCTCGGTATATGCTTACAGCAGTGTTGCACGACTTGAATTACTTTACTATTATCTGACTTTTCAAAGGAATGCCCGCATAACTCATATCCACTCTCTAACGGGACGCCCTTTGATATCGAGGACTTCGGCGTAACGCTGAGCGCTGGGATCACGTGCCCCAAACATGATTGGAGTTTCGATTTATTTACTGGGCAAGGCGATAGAGGAAATTATAAACTTCAAGTATGGGAAACTCAAATAAGAATTCAAGAGCAGATCGAGGAGGTTTGGGTACGAAGGAAACCTAGGATCGGGTAATTTGTTTCTCGCGCAGAGCTGCAACATGAGACAACCAGGCGTTGAAACAAACTTTTATTAATGGTTGTATTCTGTCTATAAATTCCAAGCTACCTTACTTGACATGCTGCTTTAAAGGGTATTACAGATAAATCAAGAAGCCCACCCCGCACCTCGGAGCATCAAGGTTACAATTCGCTCAAAGTCAACTTTGTTGATGGGCTGTACCTCATGTTCTGCTTAGGCTGCATTTTATGTGCATAATCATAGGGCAATGCATAGAAGAAGTATCCAAGCCGGGAAGATCTCAAAAAGGGGATTTGCATCAGCATTAAGGCTGCTGTGAAGGATTGAGAAGTTTCATGTATCATGCCCTGCGAGTGAAGCATTACATGCTGTCAAGTCTTTGCCCTACTTAATTTTCGACATCCTATCTCAACTTCGTTATTCAAGGATGTCTACTGTTGAGAAAGCGTATCCGTTGAGAAACAGTGCGCTGGTCGATACTGGAAACAGTATTGCCGCAATTGGCAAGCTCGATTTTATGTGCATTCTACGAATGTATCTTGCATCTCGCACACTACGGTATGAACTAGGTATGAGAATATGTTTTGTGTCATTGAATAATTACCATGGATAGCGACTTAGTTGCCTTACATGAGGTACGAAGTTTGATAGAATGGCTATGCCCCTCCTCGTTGAAAGTTCATATGGTAGAGCCGGCCGGAAAGTCAAAGAACAATTTTGAGCAATTTTTGGATTAATCGTGTGATGTGAAGTGACAGATACTCTTAGATAAGCGGAAAGACGAGTAGCTGTACAATGCGCTTGGATGCTCATTATTATGTGAAATGGAGCTCCAAGGTTATGCTATGTTCAGAACTCGAAATCTCATGGTTCTTACCAAATGTTGTGAGATATGGGGCCTTTTCGAACTCTCGTTAGTCTATTTTCTTTTATCCTGACGCTTACCGTCACAGACTGATGTCGATCACTCCCAATCGAGTGTCGATGTCGGTGCGCCGTCCTGAGGCATCTTGACAACTTCCAAGCCCCCTCTGAAACGAACAGGAAACATCGTCTATAGCAAATTAAGCTGCTTTGCCTAGAAATCAACTCTAATTCATGTAGCTTGTTTTCTCCAATGGTTCGAAGGGGGTGATTCGTGACATGGCGCCGAGGCGAAACAAGCATCGTGACAATAAGCTCGAACGCCAAGCAACATCTCTCACGAATGCTGAAACATTAGTGTGCCCACCCCGCAATTGAATAATAAAATCGTCGCGTTGCCCTCAAATCTAAAAGGTTGTGAATGGAACCAGATATTTTGCTCAAAATGCCATTCATGAAAATGGGTACATCAACTTTGGGACATACTTTCCGGTACGTATATCATCCACTGTCTAAATCCCAATTCACTAAATCATACTAGAAATTTCGACCAGACAATCCTTACTGTCAAAGTCGGGGGTGGCGAGTTTACCGAATCATTTAGCTGCCACAAGGAGTTATTACGGCGATGTTCGGGATATTTCGATCGCCATTTCCAACAACAGGGTTCGTCTCCGTACAAAACCACCGAGGCTGGCCTCGAATTGGAGGACACTTCCCCAGATGTTTTTGATGCATTTATGCTATGGTTATATACAGGCTATATACCACATCATCTCATTGAAGGTGGAAAAGAGGTGTATCCGCCGTCCCACTCAGTCAACCTGAGCAGCGCAAATGGGTCGTCGGCATCTGATAACAAAGAGGAGGCTGAAGATGTAGACACGGCCTCGTGGGGTATCAGTCTGGATAATGACGAAACTCCTGCCGATGGCCAGAATGGTACTGGTACACCATCTGTGCCGGATTCCACTGCAGAGAAGGTTCCTGGAGAAGGCGACGGCGAAAAACCAGTATCTTCCCCACCACTCCGGTCTACGACTGAAAAACCCGACCTGCCCAAAGAAACAGTTTGTCCTTGTTGTGCACGTCCCTACAAGTGGAGAAGTCTAGAAGGCTTCTTGGAGAGGCGATTCATTGCCTTGTATACATTTGGCCATCGATACGAGATCCCAAAGCTACGAAGAGCAGTAATGCTTGCCTGGCAGAACAATGATGAGATTTTGCAGACCATGCCGGACCACAGCAACGTCATCTCTGCTTATGAAGGATTGCCTCCAAGTTCACCTCTGTGTCGGTACTTTCTGGATATGTATAGTGTTTACTGGAATCCAGATAAGGACGACGAAAGGATGGTTGCACTACGTTCTCAGCTTCCGCAAGCCTTTTTATTTGAGCTCGCAACCATTCTGGCCAAAGGCGAACGACCCAAGATTGAGAAGGATTGGTGCGAATTTCATGAACACGAGGACGAAGTCGACAGGAAAGCTTGCCAGGAGGAAATGATGAAGGATTCAGTGTCTTCCCGGGCAATAAAAAGGCATAAAGATAGCAAGAGCTGGAAGGGGCTAGTCCTCAAGAAAGGGAAACGGTGAGAGATGATATTCTCACACTGTAACCACTTTATTCTCATCCAGGATTTGGACATGAAACCAAAGGGCATGAGAATCTGTACAATCGCAACGGCAGCAAAGGCAAAGGGCAGTGAGATAGGAGTTTCTTATCAGTAGTACGAAAATGCATTGAAATCAGATACAACCTAACGCTTCTTTCTTACAACCTTGCCCTCTCTGTATGAGTTCCCAGTAACCTTTCGATCTCATCCCTCTGCCTCCGTAGCAAATCATTCATTTCAGCTTGATGTTTTGCCTGCAGGTCCTTGTAATCCTCAACGATATTTCGCTTATCTTCAAATATTGATGACAAGTCCACGGACGAAGATTCCTGAGTTTCGTCTTGTGCCTCCTGATTTGAACCATCTGTGCCTTCTGATTCTAGGAAGCGCAGATCAAGACCAGTCAATTTATCCTCGGCTCTCCAGTCTGTGAGGATCTTCAAAAATGCTGGGGCTCCATAACCGTAAGTTGCATTCTTTGCTGCGCTTGTAGATGGCGTGCCCTCATTGTTGTAGTAGCCCGGTGTACACTCTTCGAAGAATTTAGCACGAATAGCTGTGCTATCAACTATTTTCTTTGTCCATTCTTCTTCAGCCTCTTCGGTAGGCTCCAGTGTTCGCACACCGCGTTTTTGCGCTTCTGAGATCACATATGCAAAATGCCTCGCTTGATCAGCAGTGACATGCATGAAGTTCGGCGTGAGGGCAGCTTGAGTGATCTGTACAATGAAGCAATTTGGGAAGCCCCGGGTAGACCAGCCGTGGAGTGTCTGTGCGCCGTCTTTCCATTTCTCTGTAATTGTCAAGCCATCACGGCCATAGATTTCGAAGCCGGTTCGATGGGTCCAGTTGGTCGCGAGCTCGAATCCCGTCGCATAGATAAGACAATCAATCTCATATTCTTTTCCATTTGCAACAATGCCTTTCTCTGTAATGTAGTCGACGCCCTTGCCTTTCGTGTCGACTAACTCAACGTTGGGGCGATTGAAAGTCTGGAGATACTCATCATGGAAACATGGTCGTTTGCAGAATTGATTGTACCATGGCTTCAGAGAGTCTGCAGTTTCCTTGTTCTGCACGACTGAGTCACAACGTGCGCGAATCTGCTCCATCTTTTTGTAGTCTGCGATCTGTAGCTGTGCTGCCGCTTCCAAGGGATCAATATCTGCGTCTCGAAATTTGGTGAGCAATTCGCGTATGATATCAGTCCATCCATCAGCCACCATATCTTCAGCCTCCACGCCGCCGTTGACGATACTATCAAAGTTGTCCATTCGCTTTTTCTGCCATCCTGGCTGTAAACCTTTCACCCACGAAGGGTCGGTAGGCCTGTTGCCCCGTACGTCAATTGATGACGGCGTGCGTTGGAACACGTAGAGTTTCTCTGCCCATTCACCCAAATGTGGAACAATCTGGACGGCTGTAGCCCCTGTTCCAATTATGCCGACTCTTTTGTTCTTCAGCTTTTCCAGGTTGCCAGCCGGATCTCCTCCGGTGTAACCAAAGTCCCATCTCGACGAGTGGAAGGAATGACCCTTAAAGTCTTCGACACCCTTCACACCAGGTAGCTTGGGTCGATGAAGTGGCCCAGCGGCTGGAATGATATATCGTGACTTGATCTTATCATTTCGGGATGTGCTCGTGACCCATAAACCTTCTTCCTCATTCCATCGCATGGTCTCTACTTCGGTCTGAAACAAGGCACGACGGTATAAGTCGAACTTTTCGCCTATCATTCGTGAATGTGCGAGAAGTTCTTTGGCTCGTGCATATTTTTCGGAAGGTATGTAGCCAACCTCTTCGAGTAGAGGCATATAGATATAAGATTCAATGTCGCATTGAGCACCGGGATACCGGTTCCAATACCTGAAAGTAATCGTTTAAAATCCATGAGCATCAACCAGTTGTATAAACGTACCAAGTTCCACCGAAGTCCCCTGCTTTCTCGATGATCCTGAAATTCTCTATTCCTAATTCAATCAGACGCACTGCGACGACCTGTGCACCATATCCACCTCCAATGATGACAGCATCCACCTTCTCTTCGATTGGATCTCTTTTGAATCCTGGCTCGACCCAAGGGTCGGTAAGGTAATGAGAAAGATGTCCATCAATTATAGTATACTGGTTGATGCCTAGATTGCGGGCGAGGCGCTTGTCGCGCTCCTCGAGGTACTTTGCCTTGAGCTCAGTTGGATCAAAGGGAAGAGATTCCCCTTCCAGCTTCTCTTCAGTTCTGATTTCCACCTGCTCCTTCTCCACCATTGGAATTGGAACTTCTGCGACTGATGCGGGTGAAACTTTGGCGGCTGCCATGTCTGCGGCTAGTACATCAAACTTTGAGAGTGGCCTCAATCTGATAGCATGAAATAAAACTTAAATATCTGTATTTCTCATGAATGATGCCGCGGTAGGCTTTCTCGGTATCTCCACTTCATAGGTAGTCTGGAACGACTCGCCCGTGTGAAGACCGCCGACAGGGCCAAGTGATGGAGTCCATTGGTCGAATCCCCGCTTCATTCCAAATGAGGAAAATTGTTCGATATGACTGGTTGTCGTGACTCGAACCCGAGGGTGGAAGAACCCTACTTTCCCCAGTTTCTCAGAGTGGGGCACTGCTGGTGGATGATGGCTACGGCCGGGTGTTCCCAGATCACCGACTAAGGCCAAACGAGTCGAAGAGCTTAGCGTGCATGTCTTACTTCTGTTGCTTGCTACTCGTACTTGCACCAGATCACCACTGCAGACAGGGCCACTCACTTTACTAAAACGAGAGATCTGTTGAAGTGTAATCGATTATTTTTAGTTCAAAGAAACCATCTTGGCGATCGGAATATCCCGACTACATTATTCGATGAATACATGGGTCATGAAGGACATTAAGTCAAATACATACACACTCAAACAACGAGCTCGCGAAATTCAAACATGACCGGCCTAGTATGGCGGAAATACTCTCGGCTCTCTAGATTGGTCCACCATCGGGCAAGGCTTGTCTCTTGCTCCTGCCACCCCTCTCTTATCTTCACAAAGTCGATGTGGCCGATTGCACATACCGCAGCAATATCTGCGATTGTCAACTCGTCGCCAACCAAGTACTCCTTGCCCTGATATCCTCTTTCCCGCGTCAACTGTTCCAGTGCTTTCATACCGCCATCGATCTTGCGATTCTGTCGGGCCATCCATTCATTACTCTTATGTTCTCCACGCTGAGTCTCCCAGAACTGAAGTACTGCAGCATCTAATATGCCCTCCGATAAGACTTGAATCTGCCTTGCGTGAAGGTCGAGATCAATATCACCGGTCAAGAGTAGTGGTTTCCTGTCTGAATACTTCTGTATGATGTATTCTTGAATGTGGGCACTGTCATATACCGGTGGCCGGCCATCTGGGAATAGAAGGATAGGCAACTTTTCCAGTGGGTTGTATTTTGGTGTTTGGGTTTCTGATTGCCATGGAATTTCATTCTGAAGGGTAAAAGGAATCCCTTTGAGTTCGAGCGCAACTCGATTCATTCGCGCGAAAGGCGACGGGGTGGCCGATATGAGCGTGAGAGTTTCGGAAGACATGGATTTTGAATCTTTGCTTCGAAGATTAACACCCTTGCACACTGGCTTGCGTTTCGAGGGTTCTCTTGTTTACATATCATATCCGCGGATGTATTTGCGCCTTAACGTCATACGTCATGATACCAACATTCTTTGATGAACTTGCGCCACCTTCTAGATCAACGAGTACGATGAGCAAAAATGCCTTTGTATTGTTGCCGTGATAGGGTGCCATGTTATGCCCGGGCTCGTGCAAAGTTTAAGATCCATGCGAAAAGCTGGTCTTGTGATTGTAGTCGATGAAGGCTCGAACAGCTGGAGCATGACTGATCGGTCACAGTGCTTGATGGATCCAATAATTGCGCAATGCAACCTCGCTTCGGCACTCCCAATTAACATTAAGTGGCCGAAGTCGCGGAAGCCATCGTTGAACTCCATTCCATGCCAGCCAAAGAAATGTAAAATCGCTTAGACATTTGCGATCCATGCTTTTGTGCTGATACGGCTGAAGAGACTGATTCGACTACATACTGCTGACGTCAAAGAAGAGCGGACTATCTGATCGTTGCAGCGGAGGCCCGTGGAATTGTGCAATTTCCTATTATGAAAGGAAGACAGTATAGAAAACCCATCCAACTCCTACTCTTGCTCCTTCTGTCGCCCATCTTTCACGCTCCTAGTCTAATCGCGCGCGCGATCTTTGCGTAAATGTATTGGTATGTTATCGTAGAAGTCTCATGACATGAGACGATCCTCTACATTGTAGTATGAGTAGTTTTAACAGGGAGATGGTCGCTGGGACTCGAATAAATTGAACAAATCTTCCCAGGTGCAATTCAAATTACGCGATTTTAAGATACACTTTCTCTTAACACATACAGCTTTGATGTAATCAAACCAGACCTGTCAGACTACTGGTAAATCAAAGAACATCATGCGACCCGTTTCCGAACGCCAATGGCCATGCAATGTGATGTCATGCTCAGCGAATTAAATCAATTTGGTGCCGTGATGTTGCGGTCGTACGAGTAGTACAGGGTCTGAATGAAAAGGTACCTAATACCTAATCGGCAATAGGTTAGGATAGGTTGGGAAGGGTTCTACATCAACAAACCAGCAGCCAAATGCGCAATGCTCACATTCACTACTGGCATTTGATTAAAACGAGAGAAATTTTGACGATTGTATTTCTGCACCAGTATAAGGCCTAAATTATAATCATCTTGAGTATTAATCAATATTATGATGGAATAGGATACTGATTGTTAAATGTTCCCTTCATCACATGTTGTGTCTGGAGATACTAGAGCCCCCGCCATTCTTCAACATTTACGTCATGCTACGTAACGAGGCCCGAGCATCGTGCATCACCAGATCATCACCAAAGGCCCATAAAGTAGCTCTACAGCCAGCCCGTTATTGCCTCCAATCTTCAATCTATGAAATCCGCATAACTAAAACAGACACGCTTCTTACTCATAATCACCATGAACCCATTTAGCAGCACTACCAATGATACAGGTGCGAGTGCTTCTGGCAACGCATATTACGGTTCTGGTGCCGAACAGGATCGGTATGCATCGCATTTCAGCATTGGAACCGAAGGCTTCGACCGTATTAAAAAGGCCGCCATGACCAAAGGTACAGGTGCTGAGCAAGATCGCTATCAGGCCCATTTCGGACTTGACGAGGAAAAGGTCAAGGCCGCTGCGATGAGCATAATCAATGCCAAGGGCGACGGGGCAGAGCAGGACAGACATGCCTCTCACTTTGGACTTGGGGCCGATGGATGGGCACGGGCAAGGGAACTGGCACGAGCACAAGGAGTCGGCGCCGAACAGGTTCGTTCTCTGAATAATTATCGTGGTTGAAGACTGCTTATCACAGCCAGGATCGCTACGGATCTCATTTCAGCATCAACAAGAGTAGCATTGACAAGGCGGCACAGTCAATACAAGATGGTGCGAAGGACGCTGCGGATGGGCTGAGAAAGTAAACGAACACCAGAAATCACCCCACAGCCTCGGTCAATAGGCAGCTGGCGACACCAATTCTTATGAAACACCAACATTCCTGACTTCGCTGATAAAAGTGACATCAAAATCTATGCTTAAAAAATATTGTATCAAAATTGAGAATAATAGTTACGCCACCTGTTACGAGGCCGAATAAGACTTATGAGCAACGACAAGATCAAAAACATTACAAAAGTAGTAATATGATTCTGGGACATGCCTCATAAGAAGGTCTACTAATGTATCGTGACATGGTCTGTCGATTCTATTCCAGTGTTACACGCAGTTTGTCTAGATAATGTAGAGGTCGACAATCCATCTTCAAAGTAACACGAAGCCAGACATTTTTGAACTAATCTCAAATGGCATGAATAACAACAATATGAGCACTGTGTATGTCTGAATAGATTGATGATATCTTTCGTTGATGCTGTCCGCATAGGCCATGAACCCCATTGGCGTGTTATCTGGCCTTGCTTTGCTATTGATCGAGCCTTAGAGAAGTTCAGGCAATAATGCATGAAATTTGCTGTCTTACGATGGAGGAAAAAGCCGCTGATTGATAATTGTACAGTGGGAGTCAATTTGGAACGAAATCATTTCGACTGCGTTCCAGATATCTCCTCGATGATACTTGTATCAAGGAACTTTTCCAAATCTGCTTTGGTCGCCGAAGCCCTCTTGTCCTGCGTTGCTAAGTATTTGTCCTCATCCACTAACAAATCCAAGAGGTCGTCGCCCCAACGGCCACTCCATTTATGATCTTCCCATACATCTGCAATGACTTTCGCATCAGAGCCCACTTCGTTTGCAACAAACTGGTAAACACTCTCTGGCTTATTGTTGAAAACATCCAGAGTTCGATTCAATGCTTTCACAAACTCCACGATGTCCTTCCGTTTGGCGGGGTCATTCAACTTATCCGTTGTGGTGTATAGGGCATACATTTCGCGATAGATAGACCCGTTTTGGAAGATGACGGCATCATCACCCAGTGCTTTTGCTCCAAGTTCGACGGCAGGCTCCCACACCCCAAATGCATCTATTTGCTTGCCACTCATCATGGCTGGAAACGTACCCGATCCGCACGGAGCCTTCATACACACGTTGCCGCTTACAGTTGTATACTCCTTCACACCGACACTATTCATCATTCGGGAAATGAACACCCCTGCACTGGTTCCTGGGATCGTGCCTATTTTCTTTCCCTTCAAATCTTTCAAATCTTTGATACCTGATTTCTTGTTCGCCACGATTCGATAGGATGCCTCGCATATCATGTAAATCAGTCGAATGTTCTTGTGAGACGCGTATTGCTTTAAGCCCTGTGTTTCGGCATTGGCGGCGAGATCCACGGACTTGTCGGACCCAAGGTTGGCCACGCCTCCGCTGGTAAGTGTAGCTGAGGTAGACCCTTTATAAAAGTTCTTGATCGCATAAGGCTGGGGTGTGTGCTCGATCCATTGTAAAGAAGTTGCGATCTTCAAGCTGAACGCAACAGAGCTTAGAAGCAAGATGATAATAAACTGAATAGATAGCATGATTTTTCAATAGGTGCTGGAGTAATAGATATAAGCTGCCACACATGGGAATGTTATACCTTATATTGTAGTGAATGAAACTTCCCCGCCCTCGTAGCGAGCTTCATCATCGGTAGTAAACTGTTCTCTGCAACTACTATTGGAGGATTTCACACTTTGGGGTATATACCAACATCATCGGACCCATCAACGCGTAAAGTCATTCATATCGGTAATGTCATATTCGTTCAGTGAGATGTCACAATCATATAGGAATTGATTCGCGCAGGGATACGGCATGCAAATGTAGAACGCGTGGTAATTTGCCGAACCTATAGCAAAGCGGGTCATATATGCCGACCCTGAAGACAATCCTTGAATTAGCAAGAGAATACGATGAATCAAGATGATATCGGTAAACCAAAACACAACTGCCGCTACTAGAAGTATCACCTATCGCAGTACTTTAGACGGACGACATCTAAGTCGTTACTTCATCTAAACCTGGGAAACCCTGTCCTATCTTTGTTAATGCTTCGCAGCCTATGAACTCCAGACAGCAACACTCATAATGACGATGCGATTTCTTCCAGGATTTCTCCAATAATCCGAGACACTGTTGCTACAATGAGTATTCCTAATACTATCAATGACACCGCGTCTTGCTGTTCGCATCTTTGGGATTTCGTATTGATTGTTGAATTTCACGTACAGATTACGAACTTGATAGATTTTTTGGGAATAGCGAAGTTAACTGAACTTTGATGCTAAAGGGCTATAGCAAATTCTATGATTAAATCGCCTCTAGGATGGTGTTTCTCAATTTGACGGCAATATGTCCCATCGAAGATGTTGGCTCGGTGTGCAAGTGACGTTAAATCTATCTATTTACAAACGCAAAAAACGTAGCATAAATATGATCACAAATAGAGAAAAATGAGCACGTAGTATGTAGATGTATGGATGTCGTTGGATCCTAAACTCGATCAATACAAGTCAGTTACGTAGTCAATAGTAATATGGAAGAGGTCGGCTCAATGAGAACGCTATTATTCACAAGAGGAGTGATCTCATTTCGACGACTCTAGTATTTGCCTAGAAGATAAATACAAGTTACAGACCACTGTTGCTTGTAGTTGAATACAAAAAGCGCCAATTGACAATGTCCTTTTCGTTAGCCAATTGCCTAGGTACCTAGTTACTTTGGTGTCGTGATGCACCTCGGCATCTCACGTCGGCTTCTAGAAAGGGCCGATGTCGCTTTCAGACACTAACTAGCAGTCAATCCCTTAAATCTCCATCATTTGGTCATAGTCACAAGAAATAACTTTTAATTCACAAACTTTTACAAACATTCATAATGCCTTTCCTCTCAGTTCAACCTAAAATCATCATTGCGGGTGCAGGGATTGGCGGATTGACAACTGCGCTCGCACTTCATGCCACAGGGTTCACGAATATAAATCTTTATGAATCAGCATCACACCTTACTACCCTAGGCGTCGGAATAAACGTTCAACCATCGGCAGTTTTGATTCTTCGCAATCTGGGGCTACTTGATGCTCTAGAGAAAACCGCGATACAAACAAAAGAGCTGAACTTTTACAACCGCCATGGCGACGCTATATTGTCGGAACCAAGAGGTGTGAGTGCAGGTTATACAGTCCCACAGTTCTCAATTCATCGCGGGGAATTCCAGATGGTTCTTCTTAGTGCTGTGAAGGAAAGACTGGGCGAAGAATGTATTCATCTCGATGCAGCCTTGGTGGGCTTTACCGATCTGGAGCAATCAATAATGGCGCAGTTCTCATCACGGCATTCTACCATTGTCCAGGAAGTTGAAGGCGACATTCTCATCGCAGCGGATGGCATCAACTCAACAGCAAGAAGGATTCTGTATCCCAAGGAAGGCCCGCCTCGCTTCTCTGGCCGCATCTTGTGGCGAGGCTGCCTCGAGCGTCCTCCCTACTTGACTGGTGCCAGTATGGTCTGGGCTGGGCACGCAGATCAAAAGTTCATTGCTTATCCAATCTCACAGCGATCTGCAGAAAAAGGCAAAAGTTTAGTCAACTGGATTGCAGAACTCAGGGTGCGCAGTAACGAGGAGTTGCAACAAGACACAACACCACCAAAAACAGACTGGACCAAGACCGTTGATAAAAGTTTATTCAAAGGCCCTTTCGAAAGTTGGAGGTGTGGAGGTTTAGAGATGAAAGACTTGATCGAGAGTACAGATCAGGTTTTTGAATTCCCTATGAGTGACCGTGATCCAGTGGATCGCTGGAGTTTTGGACGATTAACCCTACTTGGCGATGCGGCTCATGCGATGTATCCAATTGGCTCTAACGGTGCATCGCAAGCAATTATAGATGCAGAGACTCTGGCTAAGCACCTATCACAATCACCAACGGATCCCGTATCGGCCCTTCAGAAGTACCAAGATGACAGACTCCCACCCACCACGAAAATAGTAATGGCGAATCGCGCAAATGGCCCCGACCATGTCCTACAACTAGCTGAGGAAAGAGCGCCTGATGGGTTTACCAATATTTACGATGTCATTCCTCAAGCTGAATTAGAGGATGTTGGACGTGTCTACAAGGCGGTGGCTGGGTTCGAAAGGGAGGCAGTGAATGAAAAAGCACAGAAGACTACAGGTATTGCAGAGAGGAACAATCTAAAAAGCCCTGCAGAGTGGATATAGGGACTCACATTGAAAATTGGGAAGGCAGATTAGTGATACCTGTTGCATTGCCCAGTACGAGAAGCGGTTTCGAAAAATGGTCATATCTTCCACTCATTCTTTCACTTACCTACGTGAAGATGCTAACAACTAAACTACTGATTTCCTCATGACGTGGGGGCTCTGGTGCGTTGTAATCTAACGTCCCCCAGACTGTGTATAACCCGACTCCATTTGGACACTGCTAACATCGTTATATCAGTGTACTGCGGGAGGGAGAATGATAAATATTCATTGAAAGCATGAACTACGTCATGACTTACCTGCGGACCTATGGAGAAACGTTCATATTTTTTGGTAATGATTGAGATTTGGAAAGGTTTGGTTCTACATTACTGAATTCTGTGCTAATAATCACAGCGCACATTCTTGATGTCTAGTCCGATGTCGTATTCGGACTTTCTTTAGATTTATGTGGTCCGAGGAATCCTACAGCAGTTTGTCCAGAAGGCGATCTCATTCGATGTTCTTGGACATTGATGAGATCTCAACGAAAACCAAAACATGGATTTAGTTGATAGCATTATGGTGCAAGAAGCGAACAGCTGACATGCTTGATGGCCCTCACAGAGATCGTCCCCACCAAAGTTGTTTCTACGTTTGAGTAGTCCCTTTCTGTCTTGCATGTGTTGAAACCCATAGCTTTAAACCTTAGATGCCAGCTCGGTCTTTTCACATATTGCACAAGATGCGTGATTATTGTTCATTGGCTGTTACATATTCGATGCAACTATCATCTCAAGAAAGAACACCCTATTGGCGTAAGTTATGGCATGAATTGGTTCTCTGGTATGTCAGCTAGAAGTACAAAATGGATACGGGTGGCTCCTCCGATTTGGCTCGTCCATCACGTTTATGTAAGTCGGGAGATATTAAATCAACGCGCTTCCCGCCAGTTCTACTGCCTCGAGTGCCGTTTGACAATCTCCACAATACGTATTGACCCATTCTTGAACATCCTTCTGGCCCTTCCTACCTTTTCCCTCCAAGAAGGCCCCGACCTGTCCACATTTTGCAGTCTCGTCCTTCAGCCAGCTTTCATATTCTGCCGCAATGACCTCCTTTTCGATGCGGTTGACGACGCGTAGGGCCACCAAAAGATCATGTCGATGAGACCCCAAATTCTGGCGCGTGCGGTGCAGACGACTCTGTGCGTGGGATGTCGATAGAGAGGACAAAGGTGAAGCAGGAAGAGGTACTTTTGGGTTGGCGATGAGAGATGAAAATATCTGGTGACTAAAGCATAACATTAGACATCTTGAATTCGATGGAAACCGTAGCTCTTACCACTTGTTGTCCTGGTTCAGCCGGAGCTTGGAACCCGGAACAATTGTCGTCTCGTTGCTCTTTACGAAAGTATCCTCCAAGTCCCGCAAAGAGACCGCGCGAGTCATCGAATGGCTCGGTCCAACACCGAGTCTTTCCATAAATTTCGCTGCATTACGCTCCTCCCACCATAGCCAAGTATCGCGACTGCTGTACATGAAATTCGTTGCGCCACTGATAACCAGCAAGGCAACCAGAATCTTATGAGCGGACAGCAGATTACCAAGGGAGGTAAACGCGGCTAATATCCAGCTCATTACAGTCGACAATATGCTAATGATGACATTTCCAATCAGTTGAGCTATGACGGACCCCGTCGTTTGAGGCTGTAGCTTGAATTTTCTAGGGCGGTTAGGTGGAGGTATGTCCTGCGCAGCAATTTGGGATGCCTGGTTGACTACTCCGATCTGCCCAAAGATATTCGTGACTTTATTTGTGTTCCTGTTGTGCCCTAACTTGGCGATCTGGTCATTCACTACATCGACAAGATCTTCTGCTTCAAGCTCAAGATCCTGCAGACCTTGTCGTTCAATCAGTTTCTTTGCGAAGCGGGGATTTCGAGCCCAGTCGACCTTCACATATATTGCCAACTTGCATTTCGCTTTTGAAACATGGGTGATGATGATCTTGTTCATAAGGACGAACCGATCCGCTCCAGGGAGGTACCAAGGTGTCTTTCGGTCCGCAACAACATAGCAAAGGTGGTCATTCAGGACTTCAATGATTTGGTAATCATTTATGACAACCGCACCCTGATTTCCGGGTTGCTCAATTTCGTACTCGAAATCGCGACGTTGTAGTCCTTGGTCGTTCGCGGTCCATGGGCCTTGGACGACCCGCTGTGCCCAGCGTTCCCGATACAACATCTGGAAAACAGCACTTTTATCTCCAAAAAGAATGTGAAACAAGCCCTTCGCGCTAATCTCGAATTCTTTCTCGATGGCAATTTGTGTCATACCTCGTGGAGTGAAATTGACGGGCTGAGACGGAAGCTTGAACTTGGTCGTATTTCTGGCGGCGGTCCCTGATGGACCAAAGAGATTGCCGTCGATCCTGAGGCTAGTCTTGATGTCCTTTCCACCATAGCCAGAATCCATAGGTGTATGTATGGATATATCTTCCCAACTCTCGGCACTCGGTGAATGGTCTTGATCTGCGACCTCGAGCTTGATCAATCTCTTTACCACTTCCTCCAAACTATTCTCCCCTGTACTGGCGTTGCGAACAAGAAAATTCAATCGAAGTAAGAGAAGTTTCAGTGGCTCGAGAAAGGTTTTCACGGTAATCCTTGTTGCACCATCCTCTCTTGCGCCAGGCTTGAAATGGATGAAAAGGAAGTCACAATCTTTCCCTGGCGCAGCAGTAACCTCCTCAATGGATCCCATGGTGATACCCGTAATGAGAACGAGGCCCAAGTGGTTACTGTAGAAGTATATGTCCCTTGGAGTGACGTAGACGCGACCCGGAAATTCTTGCTGGTCTGTAGGATTCCAAACCGCACGGAACACTAGTATAACCTTGTCCTCCCGGGGCGCACCAGGGAAAAGTGTACGGAATTGGGCATCTTGCATACGTAGAGCGAGCGGATAATAATTTGGAAAGTCATCGGTGACGACTGTGGGCCTTAGAGAGGGCGACGGCGCTGGTCCGCCCATGCTCATGGTCTTCCGATGGGAGGAGCCAGGCGCAGGAGTTATACTTGCTGAAGATGGATCCCCAGAAGAGCCATCACCAGTCTTGTCCAATGGCTCTAGAGCGGGGGGAGAGTTGACCGGACTCGGCGGTCCTGAAGCACTTTGTTCATTGCGGATTGGGTGAACCTCTCCACGTTCAAGGCGATTAATATATCCCCAGTTGACAGACCCCCATAAATTGGCCATCAACCCACCAGGCATATTGCCCGCTCGCCCCAGACTAATCCCTCGCTCGCCGCTTACGGCAACAGCTGCTTTACTCAGATTTGTCGGTGCAGGAGGATTGGCAAGAGTGGATGGCGCAAGGCTGCTTGTGGGTAGGGTCTGGCCCATCACCAAGCGGGTATCGGGCAATCCAGGGGCAGGTGCTGTTATCTGCCCTACTTGAACGATATTATGACTGGCCGAAGCTAGACTTGCTGAAATCAGACTGGCGATACCGCCGGTAGCAGAGGAGGGGTTGCTCGAGCTTAATTGAGGCCCCAGAGTTGATTTTCGAGTAAGGTCAAGTTTCTCCATGATACGAGCAGCATGGTCGCGACGACTACCTTCGCCCTCACGTTCGAGTCCGGTCTTTGAGCGTGTAACGTCAAAACTCCCGCGCGATGCTAAACCTTCAGCGCCAGGCAATGCCAGTGTTTCTGCTCTATCAAGTCCGCTTATATCGTCGCTAGGGTGTGCTGCATGGCCCTCGGAAGTCTTCGCAGCGAACTCGGGGGCGACAGGTGGACTGATCGAGAATGCAGCATCAACAGAGCCCGACGACATAGCTCCATCCTTAGATGAGTCTTCCAGAGCTTTCCGCTTAGCAACCTCAAACGCGGAAATCCATTCAGTGAGATCATGCTGTGTTTCGGCCTGCAAAAGCACAGTGGTATCCTTGGTCTTCACCTCAAAACAAAACCGTCGTTCTTCCTGGAATGCAGGTCGGATCCCGCAAAGGAGTACGCCAATCTTTTCAGATTCTTCGACAGCGCCTGAGCGTGTACCTTGGGTCAACCAGCCAAATATTCCGTTTTTTACGAAGAACCATCTCCTTACCCAATAAGTCCGGGCAGGTTTGCCTGTTATTGTGCGCTGGAAAAGCCAACCCTGTTTCTCCGCCTTTTCTTGCGAAGAGTCCGATTTCGACGCCGTAGAGATATTTGCGGTTGAAGGAGCTTGGGTACCGAGGTATGGAACTGTGGACGCCGCATAGTCGTCCAAGTCTCGAGAAGGGCGCGCTGCCACCTCGGCGTTTGTTTCAATCTGCTGTCTGGCTAGATGTAGTTCTCTTTTAAAAACACGCTCGCCGTTCTCCATCTCTTTACTCCAACCACGGACACGATCAATATCTGCGCTCCACATACCAAAACTTTTGTTCGAGTTGTCACGAGCTGTTTTCATTTCACGCCACTGTTCGTTGATAACTTTGACGAGGATTCTGTCCAGTGTACTCCTGACCTGCGGTGCCATGACGCAAAAGTCCATGCTTGCTTTCAAATACGCTCGCCGTGCTTCATGCAATTGGAAGGCGTCTTCTCTGAGCGAAGATGGTTCTTTGGTCTTTGCTTGGCCAGCATATCGCGCTATTGCGCCATCGAAAGTGCGCTGACTGTTCTCCAAATTCTTGCGCGCGTCTTTCAACATACGTAGATCGTTCTGAAGAAAAGCCCGTATCGGATCACAAACAGTCGTCTCTGCTCGTTTCATACCACGCAAAGTGTTATTCCAGAATTCCCGTGCACCTTCCCCAAACCTTTTCAAAGCCAAAACTGTGTAATCATGGTCGAGGACAGCCTCGGACAGCTGCAACGGTGGATGCGATGTTTGGACGTAACTATCTACGAGGGATTGCAGCGCATGCATTTCGTTCGCGAGTTTCGAGACAGCTCGAACGTGCGAGTCCAGCCATCGTTCGATCAGGTCGATTTGATCACCGAGGTGGACAGCGGTCGCGCGAAACGTGGGCGAATCGAGGGCAGCCTCTTTTATTGTGACGGGTCTGTTTTGGTCAACTATCTGATCAGATGAGAGTTTGCTGCGCCAACGGGTTGTCATACATCAAAGAAAGTGGTTTCGCAACGGGCTCCAGCGTCGGCGGCTGGGAAGTCTCAGCTGCCATCCCAAGGAAGGAAACTGAACAAAATTATAGGAAAAGGGTACCGTATGTATAGCAGCAGAATCACATTAACACATTTAAAGGTATACTACAAGGCATGAGTGCAGGTGAAGAGAGAAACGTGGGAATTGCTCGTTCGCGGATGCGTGGCTGCTTGCATCCTTCGATGGACACCGACGTCAGACCCCGGTCGCCGAAATGTTTATCCGCTCCTTTTGATGCTCGGAGGTTTCCAAATCTTGGCGCTCGAGAAATTTAGTGGGTCCTTTCAACTTTTACACCTGCAACTCAGATTTTTCGTATCACCACTGTCCACTATGGCGGAAAAGAAAAAGATTAGGTCTCGTGGAGACTTACAGCATGAGAAACCTGCGCAAGGTCAAGAGAGGCCCGCGAAGAAAGCAAAGCTCCTGGACGACAGCGATGAAGATAGTGACGGCTCCAACGGCGAAGACGGAGGAGTATCGCTGAACATCAACGAGGAATACGCGAAGCGCTTCGAACACAACAAGAAACGGATTGAGCTTCAAAAATGTATGTATCACATACTCTGATGATATGAACTGCGCTGACCACTTTAGTGGAGGAAAAGTATGGCAAGAAAGGGTTCAAAAACGGTGCGGCAGATATCCAAGACGATGAATCCGACGTAGATTCACAAGAAGGAGTATCAGAGGACGACGAGGCAGAATTTGCTACTGAGGCACTCGATGCTGAAATCGCCGCAACTTTGAATGCAATTCGATCGAAAGACCCACGCGTGTACGACAAGAGCGCCACATTCTACCGATCTGTCCAAGACGACGATGAATCTACAAGCCGGGCGGCGACCAAGGAAAGTTCAATGACACTCAAGGACTATCATACGAAGAACCTGCTCGAGGGCAAATTTGAAGCGGATGACGAAGACGAGGTTCCCCAGAAGACCTATAATGAGGAGATGGAAGAAGCCAAGCAGAACCTTCTGAAGGAGGCGCAAGCTGATTCTCAGAGTGATGCCGAAGATTCCAATGAATTTTTGGTCGCAAAATCGAAACCAGATTCCTCGAAAAAGCAACGAGCACGGATCACCGAAGACGACGTTGAAAAGGCTGAACAGGACCCAGAAAACTTTCTCTCCAATTTTATGGCCTCCCGAGCCTGGGTACCCACCGATGCATCTCAGTGGAAACCATTGGAGTCTGACGAGTCTGACGAGGATGAACGGGCCGAGGAATATGAAGATGCGTACAACATGTACTTCGAGGATCCCGCTACACAGAATGAGAAGCTCGTCACTTATGCACGTGACGCTGTCGCGAGCACAACCGTTCGACGTGAAGAAAAAAGCGGTCGTCGAAAGGCACGAGAAGCTGCTAGGGCAAAACGCGAGGCAGAGAAGCAAGAAAGGGAAGGAGAGGTTGCACGCCTACGGAAACTCAAGATCGAGGAGATGGAAGGCAAAGTCAACAAGATTCGCAAAATAGGAGGCTTCAACGGTAAAAATTTCGATATTGAGGACTGGGCCGACGTACTCGAGGCGGATTGGTCTGACGAGCAATGGGATGCTGAGATGCGCAAGCGTTTTGACGATGCCTATTACGATGAAGTCGAAGCTAACGGAGATTCTGACGACAATGGAAGCAAGAAGAAGAGAAAGCCCAAAAAACCCAAATTTGATGATGATATTGACATCAAAGATCTCGTTCCTGATTTCGACGACGAAGGGGATCAGGAGCCCACATTCTCGCTCTCAGACGAACATGACGCCAGTGCCGGCTCGGATATGGATGTAGACGGTACCGAGGATACGCCTAAACAGTCCAAGTCTTCTCGACAGCACAAACAGGAGCGTGCTGATGCAAAAAGCGCTTCTCGTCGCGACCGCCGGCTCATCGAGAATCTCGTGGATGCGAGCCTAGAATTCGAGAAGAGTTTGGCATCTAACTCGAAGACGCCATCTAGGTTTCAGTATCGAGAAACATCTCCCACCTCATTTGGCCTTACGCCGCGCGATATTCTTCTTGCTACCGATGCACAGTTGAATGAATTTGCAGGCTTAAAGAAATTGGCCAGCTTCAGGGATCCGGCGAAGAAGAAAAAGGATCGCAAGCACTTAAGCAAGAAAGCAAGGCTTCGTCAATGGCGCATGGACACTTTTGGAGATTCCGAAGAGCCAACAGGCGGATTCGAGGTCCTACTGGGCAATGAGGAAACGGCAGAATCCAGTAGCAAACCCAACCGTACGGAAGTAGATATTAGGGAAGGCGACGGCAGCGGGAAAAGGAAAAAGAGAAGGAGCAAGAAACGAAAGGCATCCTCATTAGACATCTAATTGTTTGTCTCCATAGCCAGAGTCTTGTCGTCCAACAAACCCTTCACCTGTACATTCTGCCCTATCAGTCGCAATGAATACCACTGCTCATCATTCTGTATCGCTTAACAACATCAAATCGTAAGGGAAGCAAGCCCCAACTACCTAGCAGTATTTATCTATTACTTCTCATCTCGTGTTCCTGTGTTCAAATTCCGCCTGTATACGACACAAGGGTTGATTGGAATCTGAACAGTAAGAGATTTGACAGCCTCCAAATTACGTTTTATGACTAGTTAGAGACTTGCAGAGGTGTGCATTAACATCGCTGATGCTGTTGTGGACGTTATAGTGTGCTTCTCCTTCATAGCATATAACTAGTTACCCGAAGATGATTGTCATACACTCGTTGTCTGTGCACATACGTGTAACTACCCCAGTTGGAGTAATATTTACTCCGTACATAGTCTACACTTCGCCTGCACGAAGGCTTGCCAAGTAAACAGGGATTCAGTCTCACCCCGCCTCAGCCTCTCAATACCTCAACATGACATCCTCTTACACTCCGAGAAGTTTCCAGTGTAATCATACAAGGAACAATTCTAACAGACCCAACAGGTCGTTCAGCGAGTCCCTCGGGGCACCCTTATCTATAATTTCGTCGCTCGTGATAAGGTTCGGATGCAGGGCTCCTCCGTCCGGGTCCTAGCCTCGGTCACATACAATCTTGCTTATGGCTTCAGAAGGCTCTGAACTAATCCTACAGGCATGGTTTCCCTCTAGCCGAGACAAGACAATTGAGAGGAAACCGCTCACGGAGTCAGACATAAGGGACATTACGGACGCTCTTCATCGAACCTCGAAACCCGGCTGGGATAAGGTCCCAAGAATATTTAGCGTTCTCAAGATCATTGACAAGGTCGAGGACATTGACAGCTTTTTGGGAGAAGACATTTCGGATGTTTGGTTCCCATTCTCGCAAAAGACTTTACCGGTTTCGTTCAAGGACCCTTCCGCCAGATTGGATTTTCTGGCTGCGCAACAGTTCGTCTACAACACGAAGGCCTTTGATCTGGAACGAGAGCAAACCAGACATGGTCATTTTCCTGATACCCGCGATGTCCCGCTCAAAAAGATAGGAGAACTTGGCAAAGGCGCATATGGTTATGTTGATCGAGTTGTCAGCACCATCAGCCACAGAGAGTATGCCCGAAAGCTAATTCGCCGAGGCATAACATTCAAGAGGGATAGGGAAATTCTTCGAGCATTTGAGCGAGAATTATCAAGTTTGAAGCGCTTATCTCAACAACACAAGCATATTATAGAGCTTATCGGAAGCTATACGGACCCACGATACGTAGGTATCCTCATGCTGCCAGTCGCTGATTCCAATCTCTTCCAATTCCTGAATCTACCTCTTGGAGCTGCAGAGCTGTCTCTACTTCGGAATTTTTTCGGTTGCCTGACTTCGGCTCTGTGCTTTCTTCATGATCATCGAATCCGTCACAAAGACATTAAGCCTCAGAATGTACTGGTCAAAGATGGGCACGTCTTCCTTACCGACTTTGGTATCTCCTTGGACTGGTCAGAGCTCAGCCACAGCACCACTACAGGACCTACGGGCTCAACACCTCGCTATGGCTCTCCCGAGGTTTCCCAACATATCGCTCGTAGTTCTTCTTCAGATGTGTGGTCCTTAGGCTGCGTATTCTTAGAAATATGGACAGTACTGAGGAAGCAGACCACTCAAAGTCTCTATGATCATATGCAAAGTACAGGCACACAATCCAGTTGTTATGCTTCAAATCTTGATGGCGTACTCCTCTGGATCAAAAAAACCGAAAACCTCCCTGGTCTTCTGACAGACAATGCACCAACGACATGGATTTTACACATGCTGAAAGAAGACCGTGAAGAGCGCTGGACTGCACATACGTTATGGCAGAATGTTCATGAGCAGTGTAGCGACCCCACGACACCATTTGCGTTCTGCGGGCTATGCTGCTTGAACAATGACGATTCTGCTGAAAGCGTATTGTCCTCAATAAATGACATGGGCTACACAACACCAGAGGTGCCCAAACTATCTACAGAGGCGTGTCAACTATTGGATAATTCGCCTGCAGGCAATGAATCTATGGAAGCTCCCGGACGGGCTACTACTTTCACTACACCTGAAATATTCGTGCAAGCTCCGGATGACCTGGCACCAATATGCCGGGACCCATTGCAAAGATCAAATGTCACCGATTCGAAGACGAAAGCAATACCAGCAGATGGGTTCTACAGTGATCCGTACACACAGGATCTGCTGTCTTTATCTCGGCCCCCGAACGCTGAGCCATCAAAAGTTGGAGCCGTTGGGAACACTTCAAACGTAGCGGAGGGACCAGTAGCTACGAAGACGTCTATCCCAAGTCAGAGTGACACTTCTGACGAATACACATCGAGCGATGAAACCGCTATATCCGAAAAGATAGTCGAAGCTAGAAGCCACAATCTCAATGCCCGGAATCTAAGTCAACTCAATGCTATTAATTTGGCCACGATAACGAGATCAAGGACATCAGCCGATGGTACGTGTGTGCCCCCGGAATGGATTCTTAATTGGATAATCTCAGGTCACACCAAATTGATTTCGACGGCCAACTCAGGAGGAACCTCTGATGAAAGGCTTACAGAAACTTCGTTTAAGTCAACCAATACGGACAAGATAACACATAGCGGGCAACATGTCTTCAGGACGAACCAGGCTACATCGACATCTTCATTTGGAAGTACAGAGGTAGGAAGTACAGAGGCCGTCACAGATTTCCCTAGACCTTGGCGGCCGTCAAGCGGTAACAGCAAGGCGCCTCCGTTCGATTATGGGAAATCTGGTTATGGGAAAAAGATTGACTCCCAGTTGAAATGGGTTGAGAACTATATTCAGACACAACGTCACGACGAGCTTTACTGCCCGAACACACAATGTGGATTTCCAATTGCACCTATAAGTTATCGACGAACAAGATCATCTGGAAATATATACGGTGTTTGCGATAATTGTTCTACTAAAGCATGCACATTCTGCAAAAGGGAATATCTTCCTGGTCACAATTGTAACGTAGAGGAGTTCAAGATCACTACGCAGGATAGAGCTGAACATGGAATCGCCAACGTGCCTACAAATTTTGGATCCCGTTTCCAAGATTCAATTATTGGCGAAGAACGACCTAGAATTCGTCAACCAAAACGGCGCACAACTACCAAGGACTTTCCCAATCATTTTCAAACACCGCTTCCTGATTCCAGATACGGGCAACCCTCTACTTGCGAAAATTGGATGGAACCCTGTGGCCAATGGTAAGACCTCTATCACTGTAATCTAAATGAAAGCGACTGATTGCATTTCAAGTACGGCGTGTAAATACCACTCTTATCCGGTTTTATTTCGTAACTACTTTTAGCTTGCCTACCGAAGGTATCTTTAACGTATGGTCCTTCTTCCAAGAAGGAACAACGTACGGGGTAAATAATCATTCAAGAACATACGCAGTCTTGTCCACGACACGCCATCGATCCGCAGGTGGATTTATGCTCGCTAATATACTAGGATTAAGCCGGCATAGCTTGTGCTGAAGTCCTGCAAAGTTCTGTTTACGACAGTCTTAGTGTCCTCCATGGGAACACTGCTTTTGCATACCTTCTCCAATCCCAGCTTCGTTGAGATAGATGGTGCGCATGCCGATTTGAGTCCTCGGCACTCTCCATAGCCCATGCAATTGCATGAAATCTGGCCTGCCATGTCCCAGATTCCGCGGCTGATACGTGGGCGGTGGTGTTGAGTGTGAAATGTTGGGCGGGAGATGAGAATATGTCACAACTTCGGTCTGTAGTGATTGCCAATGATTGAAAAATGAACATGGGAATGATCCGTGGGAAACACCCATTTAAACAGCAGTTGAGACTGTTCCGGTTGATTGTCAATCATCAAAACCGCTATTGTATACGATACTGCGCTCCATTGTGATTCTGGATACGGAAACATAGTCGAGCGGATATGCAGTGCAGATACGTACGAGTAGATCAATAATGGCGTATAAACGGATTTCCTCACGATAAGCGTGCATAACGGATGATAACGTCACGATTGGAGCGTTAGTACTCCGTGAAGACAACCTACTTGTGAATAAACATAGTGGACTGCCTGTTCACCACTCGGTTAGCACAATAATATCTAATCAGGTCAAGCCAGAACCAGTCAGGTCCAGCCGACGGAGATGGCTGGGTGCATCGAGTTTGACGCCGTGAGCCGAAGGAAACAACACGATTGGGATTCCGTAGCCGCACTGACCTGCCTCCCCATAGGTTTCCGCCATCCCCACAGGCAGGTCTCCGCATAATGATTGTGCAAGGGCTTGTGCGGGCGCCGTTTCTACCAGAAGCATAAACAGCTCTAATTGGATGTTCATCGAAGGTTTCCTCAGAGCTGCTTTGCATCTACTTCGCTAGCTAATCAAGGACATCCAACTTCCAACACAGAAGTGGGTACTGCGTTCTGGGCTGGCGCCATTACGGAGAAAGATATAGAGGCTAACCTGAAGACTAAAACACACTCATACATTTTTGCGCAAATAGAAGTTCTGTATGAATCGTAACACCTCGACAGACGAGTGGCATACATTCCCGTTTCGGCATTTGTTAAGGTAGTCAATCATGGTGTATTTCCGTTGCTGCCGAATACGAACTGGCGGATAAGAAAATGATTGGTCGGATTCTAATCCGCGGGGGTCTACCGACGCTTTTGCTAGATCACACAACGAAGAGAGTCCAAGATCGGCGTCCTTTTCCCCACGGGGTATGGGACGATGCTCCACTTGATGCAAGCGCCTTCGTGTGCCGCCATTGTCTTATTCCCCAATGCTTCTCCGCAAAGGCATTGCTTCTCCGCAAAAGCCAAGGCAAACGTGCCCCAGATTATTGCAAGTCTATATATGACGGGCTACAGACGTCGAGTTGAAGGGATATCCTCTAAGCACACATCTTTTCTTACCGAAGCCTGAGTCGAAAGCGATCAACACATCATGTCTACAGACACGGAGAAGGCCAATATTCAGGTGATCGACGACAAGGCAGAATCTGTTGGCCCAACTAAGCCGCAACAAATCATCCAAATCGATAATTGTCAAGTACTCGGCCTCGACCCAGAGGATGCAGAATTCTACTTGAACTATCCGGCAGAGAAGAAGAAGAAGATCATTCATAAGGTCAGCCAGCCTTCCAGACTAGCCGTAGTATGCACAATGTTGACACAGAAAATACAGGTGGACATACGCCTTATTCCAGTGCTGACGATTCTTTATCTTGTCTCTCATATCGACCGTGCCAACATAGGCAATGCAAAGATTGAGGGCCTCGTTGAGGATCTCAATCTTACAGGTGTACAATGGAATATTGCACTATCGATTTTCTTCGTGCCTTATGTGCTCCTTGAAGTGCCATCCAACATGATCCTCAAGAAGTTCGACCGGCCTTCAGTCTATCTTGGTACCTTGATTGTCCTTTGGGGCGTCGTCATGACCCTGACCGGGGTCGTGAAGAATTTCGCTGGACTTATGATTACCCGTCTATTTCTTGGTGCTTTTGAGTAAGTTCATACTAAATTCATATCAATCGAAAGATTGGGCGCCTGACAGTACGGTTACAGGGCCGGCTTCTACCCCGGAGCTGTATATCTTTGCTCTTGCTGGTACATGCCCAAAGACCTAGCGACCCGCATCTCCTACTTTTATTGTGCCAGTGCGCTTTCTGGGGCCTTTTCCGGTCTTCTTGCAGCCGCCATTGCGAAGATGGATGGTACGGCTGGCTACGAGGGCTGGCGATGGATCTTTCTCCTGGAGGGCATTGCCACTGTTGTTCTGGGAGTTTTGTGCTTCTTCTTCCTAGTTGACTCGCCCCGACTGTCTTCACGATGGCTCGAACCCGATGAGATTAGGTATCTTGAGATCGAAAAATTCATCAAGGATGGCGGAGCTTACCAAGAGGAGGCTGAGGATAGCGGCCGTAGTGGCCAATGGCACGATCTCAAGATGGTTATGTCAAACTGGCGATTGTACATGCAAGCATACCTCCTTCTGGTTTGCTCGACTTGTTCATATGGTATGCTCCCCCCGACTCAGTATTCTTTCATTTATCTTACACGATTAATAGGCACAAAGTTCACTCTACCAACTATCGTCAAGAGTATGGGCTTCAGCAACACTAACGCCCAACTTATGACCGTCCCACCATACGTCGCCGGTGCGCTCTCCTCAATCTTCTTCGCGAAACTCTCTGATCATTACTTCTGGCGTCTTCCCTTCGTTGCGATCCCATTCACCTTGATCACCATTGGATACGCAGTCATCATATCCTTCGACGGAGCACTCGGCGCCCACATTGGTCCATCCTTCTTCGCTATTATCCTCACCTGTATGGGCATTTATCCCATTCAGCCAGCTGCATCCTCTTGGGCCGCCAACAACCTGGCGCCTGCGAATCGCAGAGCCATTGGTGTTGCCTTCAACATCTGTATTGGCAGTATGGGAGGCGTTGTCGGCTCCTACATGTACATCGAGTCCGAGAAGCCCAAATATTACACTGGATTTGGCTTGTCATTGGCATTTGGAGCTACCGCATTTATCATGACATTCCTCATAGAATTGTCCTATAAGTGGGGCAACAAGAGGAAGGCAAGACTCTCCGAGGATGAGGTCAGGGCGAAATACAGCGATGCGCAACTGCGAGACCTGGGCGATAAGTCCCCGCTATTCAAGTATGTCCTATAGATAACATGTATAGATGGGTTATGTGCACAGTCACGGCTAGTCACACTATGAGAAGGGCCAATGAATGGCTCGGGTTATGGGGCTACTGCGCAATGGCTGAAATAAAGGAACTTGATGTGTAAATATTGATCAATTAGGATCTCACGGAAGGAGGAGAGGGGAGAGGGGAGTTCATGAATAATGTAAATATAACGAACAGGAGGCTCCAAGCTTTTCACAAATTGGTATCGAATCTATTGAAGCTAGTGTGCGATGTACTGGAAACAGCAATATTGGTTCCCACTGGCCAACGATATGCAGGCCTGTCCTATAGCGGATAGCTCTCTAATACAATAGTAGTCAACCCTAATATGAGTATCCAAAGCTATTATCTTCTTTGTCCGTAGGAGTTAATATTTCACAGCGCTGGTCCATGTTTTCTGCTTCAGCATCGCGAGCTTTGTTTTCCCTCATCAGGACCATGCGATGAACAAACAACGTAATGATCAAGACTACAAAGCTCACAATGTCAGCGGTTATTCTTTTGGTGTACCTAGGAGCTTCATCAGTGTTCCAAAGTTGAGATGCAGTATGCAACGAGCAACATTCTACGGACAGTCGATCTCTTGGTGTTGCCCGGATGGTGGATGCCATATGCTGAGAATGATCGACATGCACGGCGAGATGATAGTCGCAAGCCAAGTACTCCCCACCTGGCGCTGAAAGGAAGCGTCATAATGCAGATATTCCCAACTAGTGGGGGAATGCAGACACCAATCGCCCACCAAATTCTCGCGTTCTTTGTGAATCGAGTGCCAAGAACAGCAATTCAAATGAATAGGATCTGTAGGCCTCCAGCAGGGAGGCCCACGAGCATGGTCTCGAAGCCGAAGCAGCCAAATCCCTTAATTACAAGAGAAGAGAACTAGGACAGAATTAGACAAGTATACGGGAGACATACTTTGATGACCGGTGAGGGGATAGTAACTAAAATGCCGTAGAGGAAATACAGCCATGAACGATAGAGTCCGTGAAAGCCTCGTGTAACTGATACTTGCTGAACTCCGAGCAATCTTTGGAGATGTGGTCAGCTGTCAGTCGGGCATCAACAATGGCCCTCAACTGCTCAGTAAAGAACCAAGCTGAGGAGGGACCGGCAGGCATAAGCCACAAGAAGATGGCTCCGCAGAGCATTGTGCCACCTCCACAGATTAGAAACGTGACCCTCCAGTTCTCCATGTGCATAGAGGCGAGTCCGATACCATACGTCATGAGTGCGCCGACAATCTTTGCAATACCATTACAAGTCACCCAAATGCTATATGAGGTTAGCCAAAACGCCTATAGCATTGCCTATGCAGGGCTTAAATGTCGCCAAGTTTGATCGAGAATTGTAACTTACGCCACTCTGAGTGGGTGTTCACATACCATGTACTGGTAATTAAGACAAATGCAGGGGATACGGCACCCTCAGCAAATGCAAGCAGGAACCGAACAGCGCTGAATGAGGGAAAGTTCTGCGGAAATGCAAGACACATTTCCTTCAGTCCCCATATCATTCTACAGAGCATTAACCAGGTGTTCCAACAGGATGGCAGGCTGCTTTTATTATTGAGCTTACATAGTTACTCCAACAGTTCACGTAATCGGTAAGCGGCTCAAAACATAAATGAAAGGATATTCAGATGCGAATTGACCAAAGTAGAGGATACTGATAGCCGAAGAATACGGATGATCAGTCATGTGGAGATCCTTGGCCAGTTCGAAAACGGCAGCGTAGCCAATACTCTGTACATCGAGATCTGATCGGTAGAAGTTGCTGTCGTTAGCCACTACATCAATAACATGAAATAATCTTCATCTATGCACCCATTAGATTATTACTTACGTTGCCAGAAGTACACGAGACACATCAGAGGCAAAATAAGTCGATCAATCTTTCGCACGACTTGGCCATCATCCTCAATGCTAATTGGGGTGTGTTTCAATAGAGGTTGCAATTGTGTATTCTATCTTGTTGAAATGCTATATAGCAGGTAGATTTGAAGAATTCCGTCGTGTCTCACTGTCTCCTCTGCCTATGCCCATGACCGCTTCCGGCTGAACACGCCTGGGCCAACTCGTCAAGAACAGGCCACGAAGCTGGTACATATTTATCTCCTCTCCACCCTAGCGGTCCCATCTTATAATAATCCTGGTTTTTCAAGACAAAATCAAGAATTTCACGAGGAATCCATCGACCTCTATCAAGAGAATGGACTTGTTCCGCGGATATAGTACGCTCCCAGGATTTATGCTTTTGGGGAGACCAGCTCGTAGACCTCTCAGAAGGGAAAGTAAATTGCGCCTTACGGCCATTAACAATTCTTGTCGAATCGAAATGCCAGCTAGTTGCCGAGCGCCCGAGGAAGAATCTCAGAATATTGCGGTCATCGCGTTTTATAGCGAAGAGCAAGAAAGACACACCAAAAGGCCACTTTAGGAGGCCCAGGTCGACCTGGTAGCGGGACACAATCTCCCGAGCAGCGAACCATCGCTCTCTAGATACTGCTAGTATCCATGCGCTGTTCAAAACATCAACCATTAAAGGCGGAGGCTGGATCCGAGACTGAGATCCGCGGCAGTAATCCAGGAAGAGTTTCAGTAATTCGGTTCGTGTCCCAATACTAACAGACGCCGACTCCATGTTGTCGCCGCATGCCAGGACAAGGAGGTCAAGAGCTGTCCTGTTTGTGTCGTCTTGAAGGTCTATCTGCGGTTCCATTTTAAGCAGCGCGGCTGCGGTTGGTATCAGGTTGTCCAGAGCTTCTGCCGTAAGTGACGCCCCGCGATAATCCAATTGGGATATAAATGCGTGCAGAGGAGTCGTAAGGCTAGCATCCTGATCATTTACGCTCAAGTCTAACTTGATCAATTCAGCTACGAGGCCAGCTTTGTATCGACGAGTTGCGGAATGTAGGACAGTTCTTCCAGCCTTGCCACGGACAGTTAGGTCTATCCTACTTGCGAGGAGAGGAAATTCGGGCCTTGATATCAGGTTGTCGCCCCACAATGAGAGTGCATGGACTGGGGCCCATCCAGAATTATCTGTGCTCGAGGTGGAAGCCCCATGAGAAAGTAGCAAACTAGCGACTGCAAATACTGTCGACGGTTCTTCGTGAGGAGCTCGTAGGAACAAATCGTGAATGGTGGACTGCCCACGGTCATCAATGGCATTGACATGGGCACCAGCGTCCAAAAGGCAGCTGAACATATCAAGATTTAGGTTTCGGTTGACAAGGTGCAGTACTGTAGTGCCATCTTTGGGTATCTTCCGGTTAATGTCAGCTCCCGCACGAATCAGCGTTGCCGTGTCTTCTAGAGACTGACTTCGTACGGCGCAATGCAAAGGAGTCTCTCCAAATTTGTTGGCAACGTTGGGATCCAAGCCTAGCGCCAAGACTTTAGACATGGGAATCATCCGCGAGAAGCCTGACTCGACGAAATGCCACAAAACGCCCTTGCCGTCATTGTCAACCTCATCGAAGTGCTGGCCATCGATCAGTAGAAGGGCGAAAAGGTTCTCGTTGTGATAGCGGATCGATGACACCAGAGCCCTGTAGCCCAGTGATGGTGATGCACCAGCAAACAAGCGCGCGCCAAACTTGATAAAAGCGAGACTCCTCCTGGGCGTGACGCCTCCCTGGCAGGCTATTTGCAAAAGTGCCTGCATTGAATTCTGTGAAGCGTCGTCTTCAAGAAACAGGACCGGGAAGAGCCCAATGATCTCGGATGCGCGGTTTAACAGCTCATCGGCAACTTCGAGCCCATCAAGCGCCAGGATCTGTTCCAGGCCGGTCGCAATCTGCCGTGCAAACCTCTTTCCTAATGTCCTTCCCTCGGGACCATCGGCATCAGACTTCAGAAGCTCCCAAATGGCACAAACCAAGGTCAACACCATCTTCGATTGATTGATATGGCCAGCATTGCTTTGCAGAATCCATCTCTCCATAGGAGATACCGCACAAAGCTGCGCAAAGAGGGATCCTTCGGGGCTCAAGGCCTCGTTAAAAAGCTCGCTCCGCTTCTTCGGCTGAAGCAAACACGATCTCCAAAGAGCTGAGAAAATGTCTGCTTGGTGATAGGAAACGGCACTCTGCAGAGGGTTTCTTGGGGCGAGAGACATGACGTGGCCGGCTTCTAGCTTGAATGAAAACGGGCTCGCCCCGGCACGAAGCAATGCTTCTACTGCTCCCCGCGAACCGGCAATAACGGCAAAGTTCAACGGGGTCCCTATCAGAGAGAAGGGCAGCTGCTGATCGAGAATTTGTGGGGTGGAGCAATACATGTCAAGGAGGTGTTCTCTAGACCCTCCATTCGTTGGCAACAAGGCCTTCAATGCTACATCTAACGTTTTCTCGTCCTGGTCGAACATGAAAAGGTAGTGAAGGGGAGTAGGGCCGGAGCCTTCATAAGGGAGAAACTCTGCTCTTTGAGGGGCCAATGAGATAAGCGCGTCAATGTCCCCGAGCTGGCACGCGAGGAGAAGAGCAGTGTTGATCTCTTGTCGGGACACGGATCGCTCCTTGTTGCTATTGGTAGCAAATGGGTCTGTGAACGATGTAGCATCGATATGTGGCGAGTATTTTTCCAGCTTACTTCGGCCGGATGTCGAGAGGAGTTGGCACGACGATCCCTGAAGCAACTTCGGGCAAGTCCAGAAGCCGAAATTGGCGAAGACGGAACGCTTGAATCCGCAGGGTTGTACCCACACATGCGGCCCATCAAGATCAGGGCATTGTATTCTCAGGATGAGGAATAGTATTTCAGCAGGAAGACAGCCCAACGAAGCACTTCCTCTGATGTTCTGTAAAGCCATCGAAAAATCACGCTCAGTTCCAAATCCGTTGAGGAAAGCTAAGCCAACATGGAATGCTGCTCTTTGGGAGTCGTTGCCCTTGGAAATCGCCGTCCGTTTGGCGTCGAGTACCAATTGCGCCTTCACGCGGAAGGGTATGCGACTGGCAACTCGCGGAACGAAATTCTAGAATCATCAATCAGGGTTCTTGCTCGAGATGTATGGCAAAATTACGGAAAACTTGCATCGTAAGACCAACCCTCTTGTAAGATGTGACCGTTAATTGATGGCGTTTCAGTGATGTCGTTCCATTCGTTCCATCTAACAACAGCTCAGCCCTAGCTCCATACGCTAGAAAGATAACTAAATACCAACCCCAAATGAAGTCCGCTTCCAAATATGAAAGGTAGCTTGGTGATATCACGCTGCCTTTTCGAAGGGTCTACTTGTAGCGTCTTCCGGAGGATACCATTGATGAATTGTTGTTGAAAGGGACGAAATTCACTATTGTAGGGAGGCTCGTATATTGAGGTTGTTGCTGCCTCGGCAAGAGCAGGACACAAGTCGAATATGCGCCCCAAAGTATCGGCTGACAGTGATGATTCTTCGAAAAGCTCTGAATGCCCTAAGAGCGCTGAAATTTCTGGCAGTCGAAAGTATCGAACACCGTCTCGGACAACTTCCCAGCACAGAAGCCCTAGAGCCCAGATATCGCAGGCGAGGAACTCAACCGACTTAAGGCTGGTTCCCTGACGCAGCTCGGGAGCTAGGTACCTGAGATGCAATAAAATTCCGTCAGTAAAGAACGGAGTGTCACTTTCAATGACGCCTTACCAGGGAGTGCCCAAATATGTTTGGGTCACACCATCTCCTTGGTCGTCGCTAAATAGGCAGGCATGTCCGAAATCCGACTGTTATACTTCATTAGCATCTTAATGTACAGCTAGATTCCTAAGACAGTCATTAATGAACGCGGCGTCATTACCAATTTCGCTACTACTTGGGTCTCATAAGTCCCGGCGCCTTCTCCAGTGCGGTTGCGGAACACTAGGACATTGTCGAGTTTCAAGTCGCCATGCGCGACACTGGCCCAGTGTAGCCTGTTCAAGCCACACGCAACCTGGCTACAAAGGGCTAATTTTGATTGCATACTGACCCTTTTCGCCTGAAGATAGTCGCGAAGAGTCCCGAGAGCGGCAAAGTCAGTTACGATGAAGGGGATGACATCTCCTGCGTGCAGGCCCCATCCGTAGCCCAATAGCGTTAAGATGTTCTCGTGCTGGGCAATTGGAGGATGACACATAACCTCAATGTCCTTCAGAACACAATCTACTCGGTTCCGGAAGGCTTGGTGATTGTTGGAATCGTCGGGAAGCTTGATCTGCTTGACGGCAACAGCCTCCTTCATTCCAGTGTCGGTGTATCTAAACACAGTGTAGCATGCTCCCTCGCCCACTTTCTGAGGATTTCGGAGAGAAGCGGCATCGTAAAGCCGGATATTAAGAGGCTGGATGGCTCTGAGAAGATCATCTAGAGATCGGATCTCAGCCCCGCCTGGCCTGGAGAAGCCAGCAGAGCAAGAAACTAGCGTCCGAGCGTGTGGCCGCACAGATCTAATAGAGAATGAATGGGGCGACATAGGGAAGACTGAGGGTGGTGAACAGTGCTAAAAAGAAGCAGAATATCTCACCATGCCACCTGTAGTCCTCGGTACAGACAAGGCTTATCGAGGGCAAGCGGCCTGCACGTATGAGCATCTCGCCTAAGCACGGTTGGGAGCCTTGGCTCAAAACAGGTTGTATCATTATTGATCATGCATGTAGGACAATCCTGCCGGTGACTAATCGCAACACCTCACCCACCAATCAATTAGAGTAAGTACAAAGCCTCATGCAGGTGGGCAACACTCTAGGCTGCAGTTGGATCTCCAGCCTTCTATATGATAAGCTTCCCCGCACCAGGCTGAGTCGCGACACCGAGGACTAGAAACCCTTTCAACATCCCTCATTCATGGCTGAGGCTATTGGTATCGCTGGACTAGCAATTGCTGTCTTTGACCAGCTTCTGAAGCTGAGTGAGAGAGCTGTGCAGACTACACAGGATGTTCGGGCATTTGCAGAGGTACCAGAAACTCAGCCTTCTTTGCCGTGCATCGGGGCCAGCAATACTGACACAATGATTGAAGGACCTGCAGGATGTGCTAGAAACAATCAAGCGCGAGCAGGGAATTACAAAATCTCTGAAGTACTTGTTGTTCGAGAAATCTCCTGTGAGTATCCCATTGGCGTAAAATGATTCTCTGTAGTAACCATTTCAGAGGTATGGAGGACAAATGCTATTTGAACAGTATGACGAAGAGGCCCAAAAGTCCATCCTAAGCGTGGTTGATGAGCTCATCGACTTGCTAGAGAGCGCCTCGAAGCTGCTAGATCGTAATCCCGATTCTGAGCGGCAGTGGTTCTCTCGCTCGTCGAGCTCTTTGGCGTCAACATCGGCACCAGAAAGGCCATCACTGGCCGAACCTCTTAGCCCCGAAAGGTCTTCTAGTTCTGCATCCCTCAGGAGGAAGTTGCGATGGTCATTTTACGACAAGAAGCGCGCAAAGGACATTATTGACCGCTATGCGCAACGCAACGATCACCTATACAGAATAGTACAGCTCAACAGCTTTGCTTCCGGGATTGGAGTCAACCTTCAGCATCTGGAAAATATGCAGCACAACCCCGCAGCAAAGGAGCTCAGATTTGACGAGACAGCAAGTCTACAGCTACTAGCGAAGGCAGCAATGACAGGCATGGCGGCTAACTTCGAGCTCAACGGTGATAACAGCTTTGGATCAGCTGATACTATGCGCGTAGAAGACAGGTTCGTCACATTCTCTGAGAATGGTAGATCCTATCTACAGGACACATGCGAGTACAAGGTCGAGAGTAGCGATGGGGTCGATCATCAAACGAAGTCCCGACTGAACGGCCTGGCTTCCCTCCTCCAACAGCCCAAAGGTCAGGTTTTCCGGATTCCGAAATGCATTGGGTGGAGGTTTTTGCCGTTTTCCAGAGACATAGCCTTTATCTTCGAATCTCCAGGTCCTCTGGGATCGCAACCCCGGAGTCTAAAACGTCTCTTTGAAATGCCAGATGTCAAGCCATCCTTACGCGACAAGTTTGCCCTATCCTACAGCTTAGCAAAGAGCATCTCCCAACTTCAGATGGTACAGTGGGTTCATGAGAGCTTTCGGAGTGAGATTATTCTGTTTTTCATTGCTCGAGACACGCAACTGGACCGAGCGCAGAGCAATAGAGAGACCCTGGTAGCACTGGATCAACCCTGGATCTTTGGATTTGACTTTAGCCGGCCTGAAAGTTTCTTCTCATACGGATTCATGGACATGGATAGGGACAGGGACGTGTACCGTCATCCAAGTCGACAGCGCCAGCCTACAGCTACTTTTAACAAGTGGCACGATATATACTCGTTGGGCGTAGTCTTGTTAGAAATTGGTCAGTACAAGCTCAATATATCTCTGCGCATATTGCAATACCTAACGAGAATATCTAGGTCTCTGGGAGCCTGCCATTCTGCAGGAACATCCTCGCGATCGATTTCGAGATATGGGAGACCCTGAAGGCATTAAGAACCGACTCCTCAAGGTAGCTCAGAAGAGGTTGCCATCAAAAATGGGAGAGAGATATAGAGATGTAGTTGTTACTTGCTTGACAGGAAACTTTGCAGTAAAGGATGATACAAAGGAAGATCTTCAGCTACAACAAGCATTTCGAGTTCAGGTTGTCCAGGTCCTGGCTCAGTTACTTCAGAATATCTAGAGCTTGACAGGAAACTTTACAGTACAGGATAATATATAGAAAGATCTTTAGCTATAATAAGTATTTTAAGTTTAGGTTATCTAGGTCCTATATATATTAGGCCCTAGGCTATTAAGTACCTCTACAGGCCCTAATACCCTATCTCCTTCTAATATAGTCTAGTATGTAATGGGCTGGTGCCCAGGAGATATACCCTGGATGAGATCCAGTGTAGTAATCGCGACAAAGCGCCGTGAGAACAACTAACGACTACCAGCTGCCCGTCGAGGGCACTTGGTGGCCAGTGTAGTTGAGTACTTCTCCTGAGTTTCCTAGTTAGAATTAGCGTGGTTTTCGTAAGGGATTCTTATAATCCCTACTCGAGGCTCTCTAAGACCTCTATCGAATTCATTACTGTTATCAGGTATCTGCAAGCTCTGCGCAACCCTTACACA